TTACCAGATCTTTCAAGTAGTCACACAACATGTCCCAGTTCTCCTCTTCTTATAACATGGCTAAAAAATGATGACTGTCTCCTTCTGTCTGTGATAAGTTGTCTTAGGGCTTCCGCCTCTTTCAAAACCTATTGTCACAACCCTGTGAGTACAGTCAGTGGCGGAATGTACCACACCATAAGGTGTGCGTGTTAAGGTGACACCCCAGGGTTGACACAAAGGTCGGGGCCGTGACTGGTCAAGTCCGTTCTGTGATTGCACAGCGAAACCAGCGCTCAGGATAAAGAGTGAACTGTGCTGTGGACAAATCCGCAACACGATTACCGCTTTTGGGACTGAGCTGGTGAACGGGGTCAAGAGACATGAGGTAGAGAGAACAGAGGAGATTCGGTGTGCGTTGGTCAGAGAGAGAGGACGTTTAGCAAGACAGTGATAGGATATTAGAGTTAGGATATATTTCTGTTAGTGACTGGAAAGTTGATGTACAGTGTTCTGTTAGAATAGGATAGTTCTTGTGTAGAGTATTTATGTACACGTTCTGTGAGAGAATGTCTAACCTTGGCACTCTGACCCTGTGCTAGACAGAGGCTGTGACAGTTTGGTTGGTCAGTGTGTCAATAGTTAAGAGCGTATCTCGCCGGGCTGTGGTTTGTACACTAGAAGATTGCTTGTGGACGTACTGGGAGCGAGGCGACTGTAAAGCTCGTTCGGCCAGAGGGTCCAGGCAATAAGTGGCCACAGCGGGAAGTCAACTGTCTATAGTCTTACCTGTACTTACAATAAAGATTGTCGTGTGTGCTCTGTGTGCGTTCGGGTTCAGTGTGTGTTAAAGGTTAGTCTGTCTGTCATAGGCCCAGTTACGAGCCACGGACCAGCAAGGTCACCCAGAGGTCTGTGACACCTATTGGTTGCTCTTTTTGGCTGTCAAGAGTATTTTAAACATTCTTCGATAAAACCATATTCTCTGAGGCCTCATGAAATTGTTTGGCCTGCCTACTGATTGTTTAAGACTCACAGCCATATGTTAAAACTGGATGTATCTCAAAAGAGATAGATACAGAAAATTAGGATATAATAGGAGTATCCGATTACTAAATCCAAGAAATAACCAGGAGGTAAGTCACTACGACAGCTTAGGGCAGGCAGGCAAAGAAAACATGTGCGCTGCAGATGATGACTTAAAGAGTCTAGAGGAAATGTTGACAAATAGAGTATTGGCTAAATACAGGTCCCAATGGAAGATACAAAGAAAGAAAGAAGGAGACCCGTATGAAGAGCCTGCCTATATGTTGTTCATGAGACGTCTTGAATCCCTGAATGTTATCTTCCACATACGTGAAGCATTCTGCTGCACGAGCCACAATACCATTTATGCTATCAACTGCAAGAGGTGTGGCATGCAATACATCAGTGAAACAGGTCTACGACTTGCTGACAGTTCAGACAATATCATTTGGATGTGCAGAGCTGTGCCCTGAAACCAGTACCATTGCACTTAAATTCCCAGGATCATCAAGGTGTCCACGACATTGAGAGAACAGCTATTAAGTCTAGCCACTCAGCGACAGTGTCCGCAAGTCTCTTGAAAATAGCTTTATTTTCACTTTAGGAACTCTTACGCCCAGGTGACTGAACTGTCAACACAGTTTCATCTTAAAATGCTCGAGTAAAGGCCCTTGGCATTCCACAGCTATTTATTTACATACCCCACGTGTCTTCTTTTTCCACTGGCAAGACATCAATGCGGCTGCTTCTGGATACTATGTTAAGCTAATTGTGTGTATTCGTGTGGTTTTGATTTATGTATGTGCTGATAAAGGCTTTCAAGTCGCAACGTTTACATTTTGTTTGTGTTTGATATATCGTGAAGCTCGTTCGGTTTTATATCTTCCAAGATATACTTATAGAGAACTGCTATAACTATAAACAGCAGGTAATATACAGAGAAGGTATTTCAAAAACAGCACACTAGAAACAGAAACATAGCAAACCGCATTATCAATATTACAAGAGCCAGAGTCAAAAAAGTGCAAAATAAACACAATTGTTTTTTATGTGGCGGACACTGTCAAGAGGACCGTACTTCGTCGTAAAATGATCAAATAAATACTTAATTTTTTACTATATGTCATGTATGTTATACTGATGTGTACTAAGATACCACATACGCGCACGTAGGCACCCACTATATACACACAAATGTTGCATCTGCATGTCGTGTTGTCCTTGACAATTAAATATCTCCATGTTGTGTTACCCTATGGAAATTTAATATTGACATGTTGTGTTGTCTGTGAACAGTAAATATCTGCCTGTCATGTTGTTGGTAAAGATGATACCCCATACCCCAGCTAATAATGAGGATACTGCTGGGGTGACCGTTTATTAACCCTCATATAATGCTTGAGGTCAAAATGGACGCTAGGCACGGCCTCCTTTTTTCACCTGCCAGAAGGTGGTCTTTGCATTTTTGCTCCATTTGGAAGGATATAGTTTCGTCGCCCAGCTTCTGAGTTGAGTGCATGGCGTGACACTGTGAGCTACGTGTATTTTTTGTTGGCACAGGAGCAGAGCAACTATGGGGTGACCCATTTGCTGTGAAGCTGAAACTAGGATTACCAGATTACATACATAAAAACAAACATACATACCGATACAGGTCTAATTCAATCAAGTATCACACACACACATACAGATACAGGTGTAATTTAATCAAGTATCATATACATACATACATAGATACAGGTGTAATTCAATCAAGAATCATACTCACACATACATAGATAGAGGCACAATTTAACCAAGCATCACTCACACATATACAGGGGTAATTCAATCACCTATCATACACACTCATATACATATACAGGTGTAATTTAATCAAGTATCATACACACACACAGGAACAGGTTTAATTCAATCAAGTATCACACACACAAACACAAGAGAGATTCAGGTGTAATTCTATCAAGTATCACACACACACACTGATACAGGAGTAATTCAACCAAGTATCACACACACACACACACAAACATACAGGTGTATCAATCAAGTATCACACACACATATATACAGGTGTAATTCAATCAAGTATCACACACACATACATACAGATACAGGTGTAATTCAATCTAGTATCACACACACATATACATACAGATACAGATTTAAATCAAACAAGTATCATACACACAGATACAGATGTGATTCATACAAACTCATACACAGATACAGGTGTAATTCAATTAAGAATCATATACACACAGATACAGGTGTAATTGAATCAAGTATCACACACACATACAGGTGTAATTCAATCAAGTATTATATACACACACAGATAGAGGTTTAATTCAATTAAGTATTACACACAAACACACACATGTAATGAAATATAGGCAGAAAGGGGTTAAATGAACAAAGCATACATATCAGACCACCAACAAGGCATACTTATCCATCACCGTGTGACATGACAGAAATGGGTGATTAGAAAGCTGGCCTGGCCAGCGATACAGAACATCTGCACGATGACCAGAGTTGAATTGAGTGTGGTTATCATGGTAAAACCATGACATCTGACAGTGAAGGATGGAAACAGAGAGGGAGGTAAGCAACGTGATGCACTTGTCCAACTGAAGATACGTTTATCCAAACGTGACCACCGGAGACAGATGACAGGGAGTGATTGAGAGAAAGAGAGGGAAAGCAAGGGGAGGTCAGCGAGGAGCGAGCGATTTGAGAGAACAGTTAGGACAGGACCGCTTGAGAGAACAGTGAGGACTGGACCGCTTGAGAGACCAGTTGGGAAAACTAGAGCTGTACTTCGTTTAGAAGATATATATTAAACTTGGAGTTTAGCTAAGAGAGTGATTAAGGAACTCATAGAGAGACATACGAATAGCCAGTAATAAGATAATGAAGTGTTCCTATACTATTGGTTATTGAAATGATGCATTCTGTTTGACTTAATAATTTTGTTAATAAATAAACTGCTGTGTAATTGTTACACCACTGGCCTTGTTCTTGAGTACGATTCAAGAGAGCTACGAACTGTATCCAGGCACCTTGGCCGAATTAGGCACATCCATACTTGGGGGATGTGAAGACCACGACTGTGTCACACACAGAGATACAGGTGTATTCAATCAAGTACCACACACACATGTACAGTTGTAATTCAATCAATTATCATGCACACATACATATACAGGTGTAATTTAATCAAGTATCACACACACACATATACAGGTTTAATTCAATCAAGTATTACTCACACACACACAAAGATACATGTGTAATTCAATCAAGTATCACACACACACACATGCACACACACACACACAGATACAGGTGTAATTCAATCAAGTACCACACACAAACAAATATACACACAGATACAGATGTAATTTAATCAGTTATTACACACACACAAACATACACACATATATAGATGTAATTCAATTATCATACACACACATACACACAGATACAGTTGTAATTTAATCAAGTATAACACACACATCAACATAAAAAGGTGCAATTCAATCAAGTATCAGATACACATATTTATATACACATATAGGTCACAATAAAATCAAGTGGAGTGGAAACAGTTTACTGTTCAGATGTTCGTGCGTGCGTGCGCGTATGTGTGCGTATAGAACTGTTTCAGAGGTTTAAGTTGAGCATACACAATTGTATCAAACCAACCAACAAGGGTTGTTCTCACAGACTAGCTTTGGTTCACTGGCTCTCAAATGTTGGTCCCACTGTGGGCAGGTAGTCAACCTTCATCAGTAGGTCATCGACTGTGACAAGTCACCCTTTATCTTTAAGCATGGACTATGTTAAGTGGTCAACTTTTATCATCATGTCATGAATTATGACAAGTGGTCAACTTTTATCATCATGTCATGAATTATGACAAGTGGTCAACTTTTATCATCATGTCATGAATTATGACAAGTGGTCAACTTTTATCATCATTTCATGAATTATGACAAGTGGTCAACTTTCATCATCATGTCAAAGTCTGTGTAGCTGACTCTCCCATCCTTATCACTATCCAGTTCTCTGAAAAGTATAATATTAACATTTTCATGAACTCACAACTTAAAGTATAATATTAACATTTTTGTGAACTGACAACTTAAAGTATAATATTAACATTTTTGTGAACTGACAACTTAAAGTATAATATTAACATTTTTGTGAACTGACAACTTAAAGTATAATATTAACATTTTTGTGAACTGACAACTTAAAGTATAATATTAACATTTTCGTAAACTCACAACTTAAAGTATAATATTAACATTTTTGTAAACTGACAACTTGATTCACTGGAAATTAGCTCTCTGTGCCTAAGCTCTGCACCAGTGATTCTGCTATTGAATTTCTTCTCTTGAGGCACCAGCTAATGAGGGAATGTAGCTGTTTCATTGATTTTGCTGCTGGCTTGTGTGTCTCTGTGTGTATGTACATGCATGTGTCCATGTGGGGGGGGGGGGGGGTGGATGGAGGGAGGGGCAGTCTTCTGACCCAGACAGTCCTACTTAGTTTGGTGCTAGGTTTCTTAGGGCGATGCAATCTCATCTTGCCTTTTGTATTCTTATGCTACAGTGCACAACTGATCAGGAGGACACACCAACGACCCAAGAAACAGTTCTTACTATCAGAAATTGTTCTTAATGAGGCTTCATTGAGGACTTTCCATGCTTTCCTGTCCTGTGAAATCTTCAGTGCAGTTTTCCATGTCAGAGATGCCGCACTTTCCATCGTTCGACTCCATGTTGTTTTTGGGCGCCCCTTCTTTCTCTCTGGTGTCCATGTGAGAGCTGTTTTGGCAGGTATATCAGGATTCATTCTCATAACGTGGCCAAGCCATTTCTATCTTCTCTTGGTTATCATACTGTCTAGAGTTTCTTGGTTTGTGACTTGAAGTAGTTTAGTGTTTGAGATTGTATCTGGCCAGAACATTTTGATCATTCTACGTAGACATGTGTGGTGGAAGGTGGATAGCTTGTGTGCATTCTTTTTGGTCATTCTCCAGCATTCTGCTCCCTAAAGAAGAACTGGCAAAAAAATGCTCTTGTAGAGTCTAAGTTTAGTTTCTCCTCAGTAACTGTTGGATTTCCAGATTCGCCTCTTCCTCCTAAAAAGAAGCTCTAGCTTTGTTCAGGCGTGACTGTATGTCTTCCTCTGTCCCTCCCAGTAGGGACACCACACTGCCAAGATATGTGAAATGTTCTACATTTTCAAGTGTTTGGTTATTTATGGTCACTGGTTGTTGGTTTGAACCGTTTGTCATGATCTTAGTTTTCTTTGCATTTATTCTCAATCACACCATTTCTGCTGTGCAGTTTAGTCTGTTACTTTTTTATCTTGTAAATTTTTATGTTTATGTGATAGGAGTGCTATATCATCTGCACAATCAAGCATGGTGACTGGAGTCCATCATATGCCTCTTGATGTCTTGTCTACTGTGTTCTTTAGTATCCAATCAATCACAAGCTTGAAGAGGAGGGATGACATAACACACCCCTGTCTTACACCTGTCTTTACTGGGAAAGTCGTACTGTAATTTATTATACTGCAGGAAAATTCTTTTTAGAAAAGAGCAATTATGTTGTCTATCTTTTCTGGAATTCCATAATTTCGTAATATTTTCCAGAGACTGTCTCTATGGGCGCTGTCAAAAACTTTCTCAAAGTCCACAAAATTAATATATATACTTCTCTGCCATTCATTGCATTGTTCTAAAATCTTATGTAGCATAAAGATATGCTCAGCTGTTTCTCTGCCCTTTCTGAATCCTGCTTGTTACGCAGTAATGCATTGACAAACTACAGTACAGTGATCAATGAGCCTTGAATACGATAGACAGACATATAGATCTATGACACAGAACAGTGATCAATGAGCCTTGAATACGATAGACAGACATATAGATCTATGACACAGAACAGTGATCAATGAGCCTTGAATACGATAGACAGACATATAGATATATGACACAGAACAGTGATCAATGAGCCTTGAATACGATAGACATACATATAGATCTATGACACAGAACAGTGATCAATGAGCCTTGAATACGATAGACAGACATATAGATCTATGACACAGAACAGTGATCAATGAGCCTTGAATACGATAGACAGACATATAGATCTATGACACAGAACAGTGATCAATGAGCCTTGAATACGATAGACAGACATATAGATCTATGACACAGAACAGTGATCAATGAGCCTTGAATACGATAGACAGACATATAGATCTATGACACAGAACAGTGATCAATGAGCCTTGAATACGATAGACAGACATATAGATCTATGACACAGAACAGTCCTCACATCAGACTTTAGGTTATGGCTGGTGTCATGGTTACAGATGCCCTCATTATAACTTCTGAGGTTGAACTGGGTATCTAGGATCTGCCTTGTTGGTCTGCCGTCCAGATGAAGATTTTTAAAATCTTATGAGGTTATGGTAAACCTTTAGGTAGCATGTTGCAGGGCACAAATTGCACAGAAAATATGAAAGTCACCAATATTGTAAATCTCGCAGGGAAATAACTTATATTCTTCTTCTTCGCATATATGAATATAACATGCTTATTGATAAAATACAGCTGCAGTGTGAAAGACGGGTGTATGGAAGGGCCGAATGTAGGATGGGCCTGCGAGCCCAATTTGTGACCCTTTGAAAATAAAGTTCGTTCGTTCACCAGCTGTAAACTCTGGTGGAAAGTTCTGGTTGTTCATCCCTTCTGGAACCTGAGTGTTGCCTGTGCATCTGCTTTACAGACTTTTGTTTGTATGCAGACTGCTGTTCATTGCCTCTCAGGTATATGCACTCCGACTACAAAGGAAGCTCACAATTAGTCGACTCTTACGACATGCTTTTGGGTAGGCAGTGGGTCTATTCTTGTTCTCTCTATAATAGGACCCCGGAACCCACAAGGGGTAGGCAGGGGGTCTATTCTTGTTCTCTCTATAATAGGACCCCGGAACCCACAAGGGGTAGGCAGGGGGTCTATTCTGGTTCTCTCTATAATAGGACCCTGGAACCCACAAGGGGTAGGCAGGGGGTCTATTCTTGTTCTCTCTATAATAGGACCCCGGAACCCACATGTGGATCTCATATTCTAACATCGACGACGAAATGCACAATTTCCTCAGATAGCAAACAAGTTGTTCAAATGTCAGGGTATTTAAAACACATGATCAGATTATACGTTGGGACACTTTTAATCATTCGACGTATCTGAAAATTTTTGATAAACAGATTCAGCTCAGCTGAACCTTTTTTTTTTAACAAAGACAAATTAAAAAAAAATTGCACAGGATAAACAAAGTATTTTTACAACGAATTTGTGTCACATTTAAGATTTCCTTAAGGGGCCTGTACTGTATATCATTGTTTGCTCCTCCATTTGTCTACCTCAGGGCTATGAAACTAAGTTTACTCACAGACCAACTGAAAATCTGGACTGTCACAGGCAATTCAGGACCCAAAATGTTGTAGCCCTAATTGTTATGACTTTTCCCCACATGTGTAGACTTTCTTTCTTACAGTTTCATGTGTGGGACAGCAGGACACAAGTTGAACAAACAGGAATGGAGGATAAGAGTTGAAGTAAAGAGGACAGGGGGACAAGAGTTGAAGAAAAGAGGACTTGAGGACAAGAGTTGAAGCAAACAGGACAGGAGGACAAGAGTTGGAGAAAAAAGGAAATGAGGACAGTTGAAGCAAACAGGACAGGAGGACAAGAGTTGAAGCAAAGACAACAGGAGGAAAATCACTGAAGAAAAGAGGACAGGAGGACAAGAGTTGAAGCAAAGAGGACTTGTGTTCTCGTGGTTGCTACGCATGGCTGGTTTATGACAACATTTGCAACTATCTCACATTCTGATTCTTCCTGCCATTATCTTCCAGATCATACACCTGGACCAGGCTAACATCTTGTTCCTTGTACCAGTACACAATCGAAACTTGCAGTTAGTAGACATTTATTTTAGCTCTCGAACAATTACACATGGTCAGACGGTCTGCATTCTTCTCAGCTGTTCTCTTGCATTCGACTGCACACATCCAGGTCCAAACTTCAACTGACTTCCTATCCTCTGTGGGTTAACACCTTCCGTTCAAGTCTCATGCTTTTCTCATACCTCTATTCACCCACCACGGGATACCCGAGACATGGTTTCCACACTTTCGTCTTGTTTCACTGGTCCTCTGACCTTATCCCCCCAATCGGGAACTCTCTGGAATTTTCCCGGGAATTCACAACTTTACAGGTATCTACCTTTATATGTTGAACCTAATTTGTGTGGACTGTTGAACTTAATGTGTGTGGACTGTTGAACTTAATGTGTGTAGTGGACTGTTGAACTTAATGTGTGTGGACTGTTGAACTTAATGTGTGTAGTGGACTGTTGAACTTAATGTGTGTAGTGGACTGTTGAACTTAATGTGTGTGGACTGTTGAACTTAATGTGTGTAGTGGACTGTTGAACTTAATGTGTGGACTGTTGAAGTTAATGTGTGGACTGTTGAATTAATTGTATGATCTTGACACAAATCTAGCACCTAGACTCACCTGAAAGCCATTTCTATTCTGTGATCAGCCAAATGTGGACAAACCTGGTGAAATGCTGACCTAACATCCTCTAGAGTCAGGAATCCTCGACCTGTCAGAATAAACCATCCTGCACCTAAATTCAGTGGTAAACATATTTTCTGACTTCATTTTTGATTTAGTGTACAACTGTATAAAACACACATGATGTACTGTCTTCACTGTACAACTGTACAAAACACGCATAATGTACTGTCTTTACTGTACAACTGTACAAAACACGCATAATGTACTGTCTTTACTGAACAACTGTACAGAACATGCATGATGTACTGTCTTTATTGAACAACTGTACAGAACATGCATGATGTACTGTCTTTACTGTACAACTGTACAGAACATGCATGATGTACTGTCTTTACTGTACAACTGTACAGAACATGCATAATGTACTGTCTTTACTGAACAACTGTACAGAACATGCATGATGTACTGTCTTTACTGTACAACTGTACAGAACATGCATGATGTACTGTCTTTACTGTACAACTGTACAGAACATGCATAATGTACTGTCTTTACTGAACAACTGTACAGAACATGCATGATGTACTGTCTTTACTGAACAACTGTACAGAACATGAATGATGTACTGTCTTTACTGTACAACTGTACAGAACATGCATGATGTACTGTCTTTACTGTACAACTGTACAGAACATGCATTATGTACTGTCTTCACTGTGCAACTGTATAAAACACGCATTATGTATTGTCTTCACTGTACAACTGTATAAAACATGCATTATGTACTATCTTCACTGTACAACTGTACAGAAGACACATGGCAGTGTACTGTCTTCACTGTACTAACTGTACAAAACACAAATGACACTGTACTGTATTCACTGTACAGAACATATATGACAGTGTACCGTCTTTATTGTACAAACTGTGCACTCTAGTAATATAAATGTTGCTATATGCTGTGCTATAACAACAGCACAAGACTCTGGAATATTACAGTATCAACAGTTACACAAGACAAGACAAGTGAGCATATGATGACAGATTAGTAGAGACACAAGACAAGACAAGTGAGCATACGTTGACAGATTAGTAGAGACACAAGACAAGACAAGTGAGCATATGTTGACAGATTAGTAGAGACACAAGTCAAGACAAGTGAGTATATGATGACAGATTAGTAGAGACACAAGACAAGACAAGTGAGCATACGTTGACAGATTAGTAGAGACACAAGACAAGACAAGTGAGCATATGTTGACAGATTAGTAGAGACACAAGACAAGACAAGTGAGCATATGTTGACAGATTAGTAGAGACACAAGACAAGACAAGTGAGCATACATTGACAGATTAGTAGAGACACAAGACAAGACAAGACAAGTGAGCATATGTTGACAAATTAGTGGAGACACAAGTCAAGACAAGTGAGTATATGTTGACAAATTAGTAGAGACACAAGTCAAGACAAGTGAGCATATGTTGACAAATTAGTAGAGACACAAGGCAAGACAAGTGAGCATACATTGACAGATTAGTAGAGACACAAGACAAGACAAGTGAGCATATGTTGACAAATTAGTAGAGACACAAGGCAAGACAAGTGAGCATACATTGACAGATTAGTAGAGACACAAGACAAGACAAGTGAGCATATGTTGACAAATTAGTAGAGACACAAGACAAGTGAGCATATGATGACAGATTAGTAGAGACACAAGTCAAGACAAGTGAGCATATGTTGACAAATTAGTAGAGACACAAGACAAGACAAGTGAGCATATGTTGACAAATTAGTGGAGACACAAGTCAAGACAAGTGAGTATATGTTGACAAATTAGTAGAGACACAAGTCAAGACAAGTGAGTATATGTTGACAAATTAGTGGAGACACAAGACAAGACAAGTGAGTATATGTTGACAAATTAGTAGAGACACAAGACAAGACAAGTGAGCATACATTGACAGATTAGTAGAGACACAAGACAAGACAAGTGAGCATACGTTGACAGATTAGTAGAGACACAAGACAAGACAAGTGAGCATATGTTGACAGATTAGTAGAGACACAAGACAAGTGAGCATATGATGACAGATTAGTAGAGACACAAGACAAGACAAGTGAGCATATGATGACAAATTAGTAGAGACACAAGACAAGACAAGTGAGCATATGTTGACAGATTAGTAGAGACATAAGACAAGACAAGTGAGCATATGTTGACAGATTAGTTAGTAGAGAAGAAGACGCAGCTAAAAAACGGAAAAGGTAAAACACTATATATAAGACACAAAAACAACTTTCATACTGTATTGTGGCATCGACTTCAAGAAGGCTTTTTGTAACAGAGTCCCTACCCAAATTGCGTCTCGTTGTGGAGCGTTTGAAACAACAGGCCCTATCATGTCCTTCACCCTTGTTTTTGGAACATTTGTACTAAGCTTAGTGACCGACTAAAAGTATATGGTGTCCTTGGCCTGAGATTCTAGAGACTACCAGCAGTTTGGCTAGACATCACGTGACCCTCCCTTAAAGTACAATGTTGTCAACAGTTTTGGAATTATTATCCTAAACCCATATTTTAGAAACGCAGTAGTGGTTTGAAAAACACATTGCTGGGAACTTCTAGAAGCAGGCTAGTGACACCTATATAAGCGACTGCCCGGACCCCATATGAGGAGAGGAGCACCGGCCAGCATGAGACACAGGGCAGGTCATAGTAGAATAGAAGTAGTGGGAAAAAGACTTAACGCCCATAGACAAACATTAGAGGCAGAGTTTATACACTTATTTCTACATATAGCCGTAGTGTAATAGCAAAAGTTGTATTTTTGCTCTTGTGGGATTCAAAAATTTAATAAAGTAACTTTTGTACTATCAGAAAGTGTAAATGCTCTCTATCAAAATATATCTTAGGAGACGTAGTGTATTGTATGATATGATGATAGTTATGGTCGATGACAGAGGACAAGAGCAAGTATATCGACTAAGTCGAGTCGACTTTAGTGTTATTGTTCAACCCCCTCTGGAACCCGGATTGGAGGAGGATTCGAGGCTGGACACAGATGAGGAGAGCAGTGAAGAGGGAGAAGGAGAAGAAGATCATTAGTAATGGACCACAGCTCCCTGATCAAGACTTGTTGAGATATTTTGTCTTATAAACTGTGTGACTAAGTTGCCAGATCAACCCAGGAGAAGTACGTTATGCTCACTAGATGACTGCACTGGTACCGCACGAAAGAAGAAGACAAACGTAGATTCTGTTTCATTTTGACACTTTACACAGAACATCATTGGGAGGAATTTATGAATATGGTACATAAATAAAAATATTAAACAAGATTAAAGCAAAGAAATGAAGGCTCAGAGTGTGCAGTGTGAACAGATGATGGTTTCAGAGATTGGAGTGAAAAAAAGGTCTTGTCTCCACTGTTATTTGGCCTGACCTACTGTGCAGAGCATGACTATGATGATAGCAGAGACAGGACAAGACATGTTGTCCCTAGACAGGGCACTGTGACAAAATATGTTCTTAGATGTGATACCACAATAATAGAACAAGACATGTAGTCCCTAGACAGGGCACTGTGACAAAATATGTTCTTAGATGTGATACCACAATAATAGAACAAGACATGTTGTCCCTAGACAGGGCACTGTGACAAAATATGTTCTTAGATGTGATACCACAATAATAGAACAAGACATGTTGTCCCTAGACAGGGCACTGTGACAAAATATGTTCTTAGATGTTATACCACAATAATAGAACAAGACATGTCGTTTAACTTAACACTTTAATGATAAAAAACATGAAAACCTAGATGACAACTTACAACATTTATCAAACAGCATGAAAGCATTTCTGATCTGTTCATCTTGATCAACTGTGGGCTGTTCTGTGACTGCCTTCTGGAACTGAGATGGACTCATACCTGCACAGTGTTTCAGATACAAGATTAGGTAGTAGAAAACAAATCTTAAAGACAACTTCATCAAATAATATCCAAAGGTGATTCATTTTACAGATACAACACATGGTACATTTTACAATTATAATATACATACAACACATGGTACATGTTACAATTATAATATACATACAACACATGGTACATTTTACAATTATAATATACACACAACACATGGTACATTTTACAATTATAACACACATACAACACATGGTACATTTTACAATTATAATATACACACAACACATGGTACATTTTACAATTATAACACACATACAACACATGGTACATTTTACAATTATAATATACATACAACACATGGTACATTTTACAATTATAATATACACACAACACATGGTACATTTTACAATTATAACACACATACAACAATTATAATACACATGGTACATTTTACAATTATAATATACATACAACACATGGTACATTTTACAATTATAATATACATACAACACATGGTACATTTTACAATTATAATATACATACAACACATGGTACATTTTACAATTATAACACACATACAACACATGGTACATTTTACAATTATAATATACACACAACACATGGTACATTTTACAATTATAACACACATACAACACATGGTACATTTTACAATTATAATATACATACAACACATGGTACATTTTACAATTATAATATACATACAACACATGGTACATTTTACAATTATAATATACATACAACACATGGTACATTTTACAATTATAATATACATACAACACATAGTACATTTTACAATTATAATATACATACAACACATAGTACATTTTACAATTATAATATACATACAACACATAGTACATTTTACAATTATAATATACATACAACACATAGTACATTTTACAATTATAATATACATACAACACATAGTACATTTCTGGCTATTTTTGTACAATGCAGCAACATCAAATACCAGCCACCCCAAGCACTACATCTCAGAAGATCTGCTACGAGAGCAAGAGGATGGCTGCAGGAAGTGTGGACTGACAACATCAAATACCAGCCACCCCAAGCACTACATCTCTGAAGATCTGCTACGAGAGCAAGAGGATGGCTGCAGGAAGTGTGGACTGACAACATCAAATACCAGCCAGCCCAAGCACTACATCTCAGAAGATCTGCTACGAGAGCAAGAGGATGGCTGCAGGAAGTGTGGACTGACAACATCAAATACCAGCCAGCCCAAGCACTACATCTCAGAAGATCTGCTACGAGAGCAAGAGGATGGCTGCAGGAAGTGTGGACTGACAACATCAAATACCAGCCAGCCCAAGCACTACATCTCAGAAGATCTGCTATGAGAGCAAGAGGATGGCTGCAGGAAACGTGGACTGACAACATTAAAGATCAAACTTCATCAACAATTTTAGAGCGCCTTTGAGAATTTGTTTTCCAGCTATGCACCGCTTTAGGGGAGAAAAATTTGTCAGCATAAACAGGAAGCATTTCCTTATAAATGTCTTTTGCAGGAAGCTTTTTTACCCAAACAAATAATGCACAACAGCATTTTGTTCTTTGAGGGTACAAATCGTAAGTACAGTTGCCATTTTGTTTCTGTGTTGCTCTGTTTCTGTGATAGACACTAAAACGCTCCAGTATTGAGTGAGAAAATAGGATGTCAAAACAATATGTAATGTTGTTAAGGGATTGTAATCTAAGCATCCGGTGTATACAGTCTGAAGGAGACAGACATGTGGTCGTGTCTCGGAGAATCCTTGAGGACGCTCTACCCTGGGACTCCACTAGAAACAAGCTGAAAGCTGGTACATTGTTTATTGCGCTTGGCAAAAAGCTGATACGCCAGCAGCAAGATGTCTCCCACTGAATGCCATTACAGCCTGGGCGAGAGGGAGGCACTAGCCATATTTTTGGGCAGTAGGGAAGTTGACCCAATATCTGTATGGTAGACCTTTCTATATTTTGATAGATCATCGTCCACTCGAAGTCTTGAACTCAGCACCCATCAAGAACTCACGCATCCTAAGATGAACGATATATTTGCAGACGTTTAACTTCATAGTTATTTATCGCCCAGGGAAAGAAAATGTCCTGGCCGATATTTTGTCACGCACGCCAAGTGCATTAGAACAGGATTGATTTTGTGTGTCTTGAATTTACATGATGTTGATAATTAATTATGTTATGTATTATTGATGTTGATTACATTAATTATGGGATAATATTGCTTAGCGTATTCATGAATACATTTTGCATTCATATAGTTATATTGAGACGTGAGTGTTTGTTTATTCAAGTGGTTGTATTTGCTCTACGTATTGGTGGTGTTTGCCGCGACATGACTCCAGTTTTCCTACCGAGACTACGACAGGTCCTAGTTCTCGGTCGTCCTCAGGGGAGGGGGGAAAAGCTGTCGCGTGCGGATACAGTCTGAAGGAGACAGACGTGTGGTCGTGTCTCAGTCGATCCTTGAGGAGGCTCTACCCTAGGACTCCACTAGAAACCTCAGCAGAAAGCTGGTACATTGTTTATTGCGCTCGGCAAGAAGCCGGTAAACTTTAAGGAAGGATTCTCCAGGCTGAATCATTAAAGAGGGACATTGCCCTGTTCAGACTGTAGAAGAGGAGACCGATGTGACCGTCCGGACTTTCAAGGTCGGGCTGTTGACCTGTCGTTTGAATTGAAGATGTCATTCGAAGTAATTAAGGGTGTGCGTGCGGTAGCTTGTGTTGGCGTGTTTGGGTGTCTTCACCATGAGTCCTATTATTTGCACATTTTCTCATTGATCAAGTTTGTCAACAAATACACCAATTACATATCCCCTAGTCTTCATTGTTAACTGCGTTTGGAAGCATTGAAGTTCATACTGTCCCCTAGTCTTCATTGTTAACTGCGTTTGGAAGCATTGAAGTTCATACTGTCCCCTAGTCTTCATTGTTAACTGCGTTTGGAAGCATTGAAGTTCATACTGTCCCCTAGTCTTCATCGTTGACTGCGTTTGGAAGCATTGAAGTTCATACTGTACCCTAGTATTCATCGTTAACTGCGTTTGGAAGCATTGAAGTTCATACTGTCCCCTAGTCTTCATCATTGACTGCGTTTGGAAGAAGTTCATACTGTCCCCTAGTCTTCATCGTTGACTGCGTTTGGAAGCATTGAAGTTCATACTGTACCCTAGTATTCATCGTTAACTGCGTTTGGAAGCATTGAAGTTCATACTGTCCCCTAGTCTTCATCGTTGACTGCGTTTGGAAGCGAAGTTCATACTGTCCCCTAGTCTTCATCATTAACTGCGTTTGGAAGCATTGAAGTTCATACTGTTTTGCCACACTTGGCTGGTGGCATTTATTCTAAGTTAAGATGTATTCGTTTGTACCTGATTACACATTTCAATGGGAACCTATGCCTCCCAGCACCCGATCGCACATCACAGTTGCAAATGTACATGCAACACCTAGCGCCACCTAAAAACGGAGACATAAAGTTTGATGTTGCTGTCACCTAAAGACACCTTTAGAAACCACCAACTACATTTTCCTGCCATCCCATAACAATTTGTAACTTACTTACTGACTTCCCCTAGTACAATATATATGCAGGGGAAGTAATAAAAGTTATACAGAACAGCCCAAGAAACAAAGCACCAGGTCTGGAGGGAATTAATACAGACGGGATCAAGCATGTGGAGAAGTGTGTGACAAAATGCTAACTAGAATTTTTAATATAGCTTCAGAAGAAAGAAAAGTCCCAGCTGAGCAGCAACAAGTACTAATAATGCTGTTTTTGAAAGAGAAAGGTAATAGGAGAGGATGTGAAGCATACCGAGGTACATCATTACTGATTCACACAGAGAAAATGTACACAAACTACTAGAACAGAGAGTTAGACCCATAGCTGAACAACAGTTGAGAGCATCACTAATTGTTTTCAGAAAAGGCAGAGGATGCACAGATAACCATTTGGACATCTTGTTAGAATGCAACAAGATAAAATACCATTACAAGCATTACATCCCAGAAGATCAGCTACAAAAGCAGAGGACGGCTGTGAAAAATGTGGATGTAGCACATAAAAGACACCTCACAGCTTCATAGAATTATAATAGCCAGTGGCAGCCAGCGTGTGCTGGATCGTAAATTATTCCTCTCCACAACACTTAACGGCAGAAGTGGTTTATGATGATGATGATGAAATATAAGCAAAACACAGTTCATTTTACAATTGCAATACACTTGCAACAAATAGTAAATTTTACAGATACAATATACATGCAACACATGGTACGGTGTGCAGACACAATATATGGAACATTATATGGAAACAATATGTGATTCATTTTACCAGTAGAATATACAGCATATGGTACATTTTACAGATGCACATTAAAACACATAGCATATTTTACAGATGCAACATAACCTTCATAGAGCCTGTCTTGTCTGATTTGTTGCCTTAAGATCTGTTATCATGTAAGTCAGTTGTTGTCATCAGTACAGTTTCATGGTTAAATGAGACCTTCTACTGATATCTCATGCACTCAAACAGTGTGCTACACCCACCCAAGAACAATAATACAACCACCCAAACACAATGTTGCGCCCAACCAAACACACCAATGGACGTTGCTTAGTGCAACAAAGCCTTGCATATCATATCACAACATCTAGTTTGAAAATGGAGGTGGAAGCAGTTACTGCTGTCTTCCGCGGCTTGAGAATCAGCTGCACACACATGCCGTGATTGTAACTGACTCACAGAGCATGCTGAGAAAGGTGGAGACAGGCATACTTCGTGCAGAGTGGCAAGCATCACTTCAGAGGTCCCGGGTAGTTAGTATCCTTTGGATATTCTCTCCAGGTCATGCAAGTATGTTGAGAAATGAGCAGGCAGATAGACTTGCTGGTTCTGCACCACTTGGTGGTGAATTGATAGATGACAAGCTAGACGCTGTGAGGGCCCTCTTGGAGCAAGTGAACAGTGGGCAAGTGCAAATAAATCATTACGGTCTGAGGAGAATGGTGCTGCAAGGAGTTATCAGGTATCTGGCCGACTCTCAACACTCAAGGGAAGGGTGAGATGGATATACAATCAGACAGTTACTGATGCCATTTGAATTAGAACTATTTGTTTGCTGCTGAAGATGGAGACGGAGCGTTTATGGCAGTGTCACGAGTGCTTTGATGTCGATTCTTAATTCAACATTCAATGTTACATCTATCCAAACACAATGTTGTACCTACCTAAATAATTTTACACCCACCCAAACACAATGTTACACCTACCCAAACACAATGTTACATCTACCCTACACAATGTTGCAAGTACCCAAAACACAATGTTCATCATCATCATCATCAGGTTCCCTGCCAACTGGCATAGGCGCTCATGAATCTCCACAAATCACGATCCCTGGTTGAATGGAACAGCTCTCGTGATGATATCTATCCATGCCATCGTTTCAGCCCATCCAGCATTATCTCTCTTGGTCTGCCTCTATCCCTCTTTCCAGTGATCTTTTCAGTTGTCCCAATGTTTTCCAATGCCTCTCTTCTCATTTAGTGCCGAAGAACAGTGTTTGTCTCCTTCTTATTGTTGTATTTAGAGATCCACTTTCTTTAACTTTTTTTTCAAACAATCATTGTCAGTTACTCTGGCCATCCAAGGTATTCGCAACATTCGTCCCAAAAACCACATCTCTGTTGCTTCTAAATTCCTCTGAATTTCTTCACTGACATTCCAAGATTCGCTGCCATACAGCAGAACAGATTCTATGTAACATTTTAGCACTCTCTTAACATAATGTTGCACCTACCCAATCACATTGTTACATCTACCCAAACATGATGTTGTACCAACCTAAATAATTTGTTGCACCTACCCAAACACAATGTTGCACCTACCCAAACAAAATGTTACATCTACCCAAAGACGATTTTGTACCAACCTAAATAATTTGGCACCTACCTAAACACAATGTTACACCTATCCAAACATAATGTTACATCTACCCAAATACAATGTTGTACCAACCTAAATAATTTTACACCTACCTAAACACAATGTTACACCTATCCAAACACAATGTTACACCTATCCAAACACAATGTTACATCTACCTAAACACAATGTTGTACTAACCTAAATAATTTTAGACCGGCCATATACAATGTTACACCTATCCAAACACAATGTTACATTTACCCAAACACAATGTTGTACCAACTTAAATATTTTTACACCTACCCAAACACAATATTACACCTACCCAAACACAATGTTACATCTACCCAAACACAATGTTGTACCAACTTAAATATTTCTACACCTACCCAAACACAATGTCACACCTACCCAAACACAATATCACACCTACCCAAACACAATGTTACACCTACCCAAACACAATTTTACACCCACACAAACACAATGTTACACCCACCTAAACACAATGTTACACCTACACAATTTTACACCCACCCAAACACAATGTTACACCCACCCAAACACAATGCTACACCCACCCAAACACAGTGTTACACCTACCCAAACACAATGTTACACCTACCCCAAACACCAGATGGATGCTGGCTTCCATAGTGTGTCAGCAACTCTACTGCTTCCTGCTGGAAAAAAAAACACAACCATTTTTTGAATGTACATTTACTGTCAGCCATCACACACATTTACTGTCAGCCAATACACACATTTACTGTCAGCCATCACACACATTTATTATCACACACATTTAATGTCACACATCACAGACATTTAATGTCACAAATCACACACATTTACAGCCACACATCACACACATTTACAGCCACACATCACACACATTTAATGTCACACATCACTAACATTTAATGCCACACACATTTACAGCCACACATCACACAAATTTACTGTCACACATCACATAAATTTACTGTCACACATCACACACATTTATTGTCACACATCACACAAAATTTACTGTCACACATCACACACATTTACTGTCGCACATTACACACATTTACAGTAACACATCAAACACATTTACTGTCACATATCACACACATTTATTGTCACATATCACAATCATTTTCTGTCACACATCACACACATTTACTGTCACACATCACACATTTACTGTCACACATCAAATACATTTACTGTCACACATCACACACATTAACAGTTACACATTCCACACATTTACTGTCATTCATCACACACACTTACAACGACACATCACACACATTTACAGTCATACATCACACACATTTAGAATCACACATCACAAACATTTACAATCACACACATTTACTGTCACACATCACACACATTTACAGTCACACATCACACATATTTACAGTCATTTATCACACACATTTACAACCACACATCACAAACATTTACAGTCATACATCACAAACATTTAGAGTCACACATCACAAACATTTACAATCACACATATTAACTGTCACTTTTCACACACATTTTCAGTCATTCATCATACACATTTACAGCCATACATCACACATGTTTAGAGTCACACATCACAAACATTTACAATCACAAACATTTACAATCACAAACATTTACTGTCACACATCACACACATTTACAGTCACACATTATACACATTCACTGTCACATTTCACACACATTTAGAGCCACACATCACACACACATTTACTGTCACACATCACACACATTTACAGTCACACATCACACATATTTACAGTCATTTATCGCACACATTTACAACCACACATCACACACATTTACAGTCATACATCACACACATTTACAGTCACACATCACAAACATTTACAATCACAAACATTTACTGTCACACATCACACACATTTACAGTCACACATCACACACATTTACAGTCACACATCACACACATTTACAGTCACACATCACACACATTTACAACCACACATCACACACATTTACAGTCATACATCACACACATTTAGAGTCACACATCACAAACATTTACAATCACAAACATTTACTGTCACACATGCCCGGCTCTCTAGCGTAGTTGGCTAAACCGGATTGCGTGGTGACCGGGTGAAGAACTCCTTGTGGTCCGGGTTTACTCCCGGGGGTAGGCAGAAAAGCCACATTTCTCCCAGATTTACGGTATTTACAATGAAATCAAGGCCGAAAGGTTGCGATATCCATAATACCGAGCCAAAGGGTTAACAACTCATGGCTTCTGGATACTAAAATAAACAAACAAACTGTCACACATCACACACATTTACAGTCACACATCATACATACTTTTAGTTACACATCACAAGTTACAAATATCACCCACAAACATGTAGTAGCAACATGATATACAAACAGACATAGTCACACACAGGGATATATATCAAGTGCAGACCCGACTAGGTGATCTTGTATGTGGCAAATTTCTGTTGTGAAGAACAATTTGTTTAATCCCTGTCAATTTGTCTTCTTTGTCTTTTTAAAAATAAAAAAAAGTCCAGCTGAGTTGAATCTGTTTATAACATATTTTTGGATATGCAGAATGAATAAATGTGTCTCAACTGTATAATTTCATCTCCTTAACTCTCTGAGCGCCGGGGGTTTGGCATTGAAGGCCCAATGTGTGGTCACACAATTTTGAAATGTCACAAGTGTTACACATTAAAACAGACTATACTAATTTAACTGCAGTGCAACATATACATATTATACATTAAAGTGACCAGGGATTGTTGAGGATAAATATTGGGATACTGTTATAAAAATAAATTGTGTCAGTCGTTCATTATAAGGAAATAAAAAGAACATATGTTTTGGGAAATCAGTAAAAAAGAAATTATAATTTTTCACTTACCACCATGGCACTCAAGGAGAACTCGATGAAATATATCCAGAATGAATCACAAATTAACATGAACCATTTAAAATGTATAAATAAAATATAAACACAATCTGCCAATTAGATCTCGTTCAGAGCACCTTTTTTTTTTTTGGTAAAGAAAAATTACCTCCGAAATAATATTTTCACAAAAAATAAAAAATGAACACTCGTTTAGTGTTTAGTACTGACTCTGTTACCACTGTAGGCTTTGTGTGAGGTAATTATTAGAGCTATGCCTCATCAAATTTGGACTATCAATGACAGAAACAAATCTACTTCGGAACTTTCTTTGTCTAGCTTCGAATAAATCTGATAAATATGTGTTTTATTTAAAAGTGAGGCTTCTAAAGTCATAAATCCTGTTGGCATGCATGAAGAAGTCTGATCGGAGGCCATATTGTTTTCACACAGACTCTTAGTAACTTATTAAAATGCTAAATGAAATGCTTTAAACCATGTTTTTGAATATCCCTAATGGTCATCATATAGGACTTCAAACACAAAGAATTCAAAACTGTCAGTTTGCAATGAAATACTACTGGCTAGTGGTCAATTAAAAACATGAACCCATCACGTATCGACTGGGTGGCTGTGTAGCAACTGATGAGCCTGTGATGTGTTCCTTGGGTGGCTGTGTAGCAACTGATGAGCCTGTGATGTGTTCCTTGGGTGGCTGTGTAGCAACTGATGAGCCTGTGATGTGTTCCTTGTGTGGCTGTGTAGCAACTGATGAGCCTGTGATGTGTTCCTTGGGTGGCTGTGTAGCAAATGATTAGCCTGTGATGTGTTCCTTGGGTGGCTGTGTAGCAACTGATGAGCCTGTGATGTGTTCCTTGGGTGGCTGTGTAGCAACTGATGAGCCTGTGATGTGTTCCTTGGGTGGCTGTGTAGCAACTGATGAGCCTGTGATGTGTTCCTTGGGTGGCTGTGTAGCAACTGATGAGCCTGTGATGTGTTCCTTGGGTGGCTGTGTAGCAACTGATTAGCCTGTGATGTGTTTCCTTGGGTGGCTGTGTAGCAACTGATGAGCCTGTGATGTGTTCCTTGGGTGGCTGTGTAGCAACTGATGAGCCTGTGATGTGTTCCTTGGGTGGCTGTGTAGCAACTGATTAGCCTGTGATGTGTTCCTTGGGTGGCTGTGTAGCAACTGATGAGCCTGTGATGTGTTCCTTGGGTGGCTGTGTAGCAACTGATGAGCCTGTGATGTGTTCCTTGGGTGGCTGTGTAGCAACTGATGAGCCTGTGATGTGTTCCTTGGGTGGCTGTGTAGCAACTGATGAGCCTGTGATGTGTTCCTTGGGACTACTAGAGTTGAGGCAAACTTGTTTCAAATACCAGGATATTTGTACAAATGAATTTTTGGAGTTTTTTCCCTTCTCTAAAATTTCTGGAAATTTAAAATCTACTTAAAAAAAAAAAAAACACACGTAAAAATGGACCTATATAAATAACCTCAATGGCAGAAGAGTTAGTACTTCTGGAAGGCTGAAAATGTAGTCCTGGCCAGATGAGTCACTTTAAAACATTACTTATAATACTTTGTGTGGGAAAGGGCATTCTGTTAATGAAACGTTTACCAAATCATGTCTGCCTAAGAAACCAGGCACTATAAAATGTTAAGACCATTGCACAATAAGTCTTATGATGTCACATGACTAAGATTTTACTGAGAATAATTATGAGAAGAATAAGAAACAAAATTAAACCAGAAATCAGCGATGAACAATGTGGATTTGCTAAAAAAAGGTACAAACAATGCCATATACATCCTAAGGACATTGTCAGAAAGAGCTATAGAAGTAAAGACTGATTTGTACATATGCTTCATAGACTATACAAAAGCATTTGACTGTGAAGCATGAAGAAGTAATCAAACTGTTAGAAAAATTAAACATTGATGGGAAAGATCTACGAATAATAAAGCATATGTATTGGCAGCAAACAGCAGCTATAAGAATTAACAACTGTTTAGGTACATTTCAAAGCATAAAGAGGGGCGTACGACAAGGATGTGTACTGTCACCTGATTTGTTTTCAATATACAGTGAATATATAATGAGAGCTTTAATTGGTATGCCCGGAATTGTGGTTGGTGGGCACAATATAAACAATTTACGTTATGCTGATGACACAGTCTTGATAGCAACAAGTCAAAAAGAACTACAGGAAATGATTGACATTGTGGTGTTAGAAGGTGGAAGAATGGGCCTCAGTTTGAATAATGGGAAGGCAGAAGTAATGGTGGTAACAAAGAAATGAATTATTCTTAAGTGTGTAATAAAAGTTGATGGTGTTATTTTATGGACAAGTACAGAAATTTAAGTATCTGGGCACATGGATAACATCAGATGGAAGATGCATAACTGATATAAGAAATAGAATAGGACAGGCAAAAACTGCATTTCATAAAATGAAAAACATCTTGTGCAATATATCCTAGTCATTGAGAGTTAGAAAAAGAATTCTTGCTTGCTACATACATCCAGTTTTAACATATGGCTGTGAATCCTGGACAATCGGTAGACAGGCCAAACAATTTCTGGAGGCCTCTGAGATGTGGTTTTACAGAAGAATGCTTAAGGCCAAAAAGAGCAACCAAGAGGTTTTGAAAGAGGCGGGAGCCCGAAGACAACTTATCACAGACATCAGAAGGAGACAGTCATCATTTTTCGGCCATGTTATGAGAAGAGGGAAAATAGAACATGTTGTGACCACTAGAAAGATATGTGGAAGTAGAGATAGAGGAAGACAACGAGAGAAGATGCTTGACAGTCTTGTTGCATGGCATGGAGGTGTGTCGGCACACGAACTGATACATGCTGCAGGAGATCGCAGATTATGGAGAGGCATGATCACCCACGCCAGTTGGCAGGGCACCTGATGATGATGACCAAATCATGGACTAAGAAGGTGCTAAAAACAGCCACGAGAAGGAATAATTCCACTGATGTGTTTAACACTAATGAAACTAGATTGTTTTCGGAAATTGCTGCCTAATAAGACTTTTCCATTTGAACTGAAAATTATCATGGGGGGAACAATTTGAAAAAATAGTTCCAAATAAATTGCCATTACTTATCAGTAAATAAAAAAAAAAAATCCACACTATTTTAAAGGTCTGGAAAAAAAAAGCAGTTCATTTAAAAGCCTTGACGACATCAGACATTTTCACCAAGTGGCTACATGCCTCTGATCATTCTATGAAATGTCAACATCACCAATTTCTTCTGCTGCTTGAAAATTGAACTGTTCAACCCACTTAAATGTTCGCAGTCTGAAAGCAACAGAAGTTTGATTTTTTGCCACAAAATTTGATGTCCAAACTTTAGCCTTTTTCATTCACTGATTGTGGGTAAGGAACTGTTTGCTTCTGTGATTGTGTGTACATGAGTACATAGGAACTATTTGCTTCTTTGATTATGTGTACAGGAATTGATTGCTTTTGTGACTGTCTGAACATCAGTGTACAGGAACTGATCGTTTATGCGACTGTGTGTACATGTGTAGACATGAACTGTTTGCTTATTTGATTGTGTTTACAGGAATTGATTGCTTCTGTGATTGTCTGTACATGAATGTACAGGAACTGTTTGCTTCTGTGATTTTTTTTTACATGAGTGTACACAAACTGATTGCTTCTGGGATTGTCTGTACATGTGTGTGGACAGCAGTATTTAATTCCCTGATAGTGTACATGAGAGTGTATTGAGTACAAACCAGTATTCACTTCACCGATTGTGTGTACTTAAGAGTGTATTGAGTACACAGCAGTGATTCATTCACTGTCTGTGTGTACATGAGAGGTATAGAATTACAAAGCACTGATTAATTCACTGCTTATGTGTATATAAGAGTGTATCGAGTACACAGCAGTGATTAATTCACTGCTTATGTGTATATAAGAGTGTATCGAGTACACAGCAGTGATTCATTCACTGACTGTATGTACACGAGAGGTATGGGGTACACAGAACTGACTGTTTGTATATGAGAGGAATGAAGCACTGATTGCATGTTAATAAATGTATACAGAGTGCTCAGTAGTGTTTCGTTCACTGTGTATAAACTCACACACAAACTAATGTTACTTGTGATATCTTGTGTCCAAACATTCACTGTGTATAAACTCACACACAAACAAGTAATGTTACTTGTGATATCTTGTGTCCAAACATTCACTGTGTATAAACTCACACACAAACAAGTAATGTTACTTGTGATATCTTGAGTCCAAACATCATCATCATGGCAACTTTCAAGTCATAACTGTCCAGAAACCCTTTACTTCTCTCATCAGCTTGCAGGAAAATCTAGCCATAGAAAGCACAGTCAATGTCAAGTTACTGAACAAATGTCCAACAGAAAACCAATGTTTCATTATACATAAATGTATTTGAAAAACAGGATTTTAATGTGTCATTTACTACATTTGATTTCAATGAGCAGTTACTACATTTGATTTCAATGAGTCATTTACTACATTTGATTTCAGTGGGTCATTTACTACATTTGATTTCAGTGTGTCATTTACTACACTTGATTTCAGTTTGTCATTTACTACATTTGATTTCAATTAGTCATTTAGAGTCATTTACTACACTTGATTTCAGTGAGTCATTTACTACATTTAATTTCAATGAGTCATTTAGAGTCATTTGCTACACTTAATTTCAATGTGTAATTTACTGTAACAGAGTTGGTTAGTATATGGCCCAGTGCCGGGATGTTAGGAGATCAACAAGTTTTGGTAACCTTAATTTTTCCTGACAAAACTGAAAATTGACGTCATAACTTGTTTATTAGGAAATAGTATTTTGCTTTGTATTTGATGAGAAGAAAGTCAATAAGTTTTTGAAACAATTTTTATAAATAGTATTTGTCATTGTTGGCCTTGCTCTTTCAGAGAGAACCTAGTAGCACTTGTTTTATAGGAGTCTATTGACATCAGCTGTCAATCTAACTACTATATTTGCGCAGAATAGGATGATGAAACGCACATAGTAAACAAGTTGAGACTTACTAGAATATTCTAGAAGCAGAAAAAGCGAGAAGAAAACAAATAACTAACATTCCAGCATCCAAGTATAAGTAGTGCGTGAGAAACACTTAAAGGAATTTTTCAGTCACAAGACTCAAGAGAGGAGGGACCAGTCACATTGACTCACAAAGCAGCCTTCAGTCGTAGAGATGTCAGCTCAACTCAAAGAATGCCTTCAGTCGTTAAAACTCAGAGGACGAGCGACAAGTCTCAATGATCCTCGCAGTTGTGGAGATGCCAACACAACACTAGAAGGAGAGGAGCCAGACATATGGAACCTCGAAGACAGTCACTAGAGAGCAGACATGAAACAAGACAACAAACTACAGAGACGACACACAAGATATATGGATCCATGGTTAATGGCGATACATTAGTTAGGAACACTACTGAGATGTTAGAGTTGTTGATCAAGCCGTTAGTACCAAACAGCACTAGAAGCCAGGTGGCAGTTACAGACACTAGAATCAGTTAATAAAGTAACTAGAGATGAAGAACACAACGCGAACCTACGAGTATTTTAGCCATAGAGAGAACACAGCACTATTCAGAATATCATTGATGTATTTGTGACCTTGCTGAAGTATCACAATAAAGCCAGTATAGACAAGAACAGTTGTTTCCAGCCATTTTTATTATACAAGCATCAGAGTTACGTGAGAAGCATGCAGCTAGCAAGACATCATCATCATCATCGCCACTATCGACACGACCATCTTTCTCCTCATCTATAATCTTCCAATTGACTCCTCCTGTAGCAAACATAAAGATGAACCTGGGTGTGACATCAACATACGCAACGAAGAACAGAGCTGTGCTCCATTACTACAATTGATTTCAGTGTGTCATTTACTACACTTGATTTCAGTGTGCCATTGCTAAACTTGACTTAAGTGTGTCATTTACTATACATGATTTAAGTGAGTTGTTTACTAGACCTGACTGCTCATAATTGTTTTTAAGAAACAAACATATCAATGTAAGAATTAAGTGATCTCTTAACTCTTTGAGTCCCAAGGAACGCATTATACGCTCATAGGTTACTGTCTAGAAGCCCAATGAACACATGATGCTCAGATTTTACGTCTTTCTTGACTACCCGTTGGGCTTGTGATGCTAAGCCCTCTCGGACTCAAAGTGTTAAACAGTTAAACAAATACATCAGTGTAAGCATTAAGTGATCTCTCTAACAGTGATAGAAATTCATCAGTTGAAGCATTTATAACATTATCTAAGCTTTCCTAACCCACCCAAGCTCAGTCGGGTACGCCTAACAGAACAAGTTATAATTTGATAGTTAAGATTGTTTATTATAATGCCAAATCAAGTGCAACACTGATTTCTGTTACACAATGATGATGAATACTTCAGGTTATTGTTGCGGTTTATGAATGTTTCACAAGTATTTCTTACACCAAGTAAAACTTGTCTTTCTTCTAATGAAATTAACTCTTAGCCATACAGTCAAATACTATGTTCACAAACAACATTTTGACTTTGACATATCTTGCGACCAAACGCTCACAGACCTCTTGCCTAACTGTCCGTGAATCTCTCTCTGTGCTTATTCCCTCCTTTCTCATTATCTCTTTTCTTTACAAACTCCAAGCGATTTCCCAGCCTGCTGTCATCTCTCCATGCACCTGTTCATCTCCATCTTCCTGGATTCTGCCTTTGTGGAACCCGTCTTATCTTAAGGAAAGATCAACCTCTTTCGCTTGTCAATACCTCCGGGGTAGTTGCCTGACTCATGTTCTAATATCCATTTATAGCACTTTCCCAAGGTGGTTCTGGCATATCTTGATGCTATGGTCAGTCGCTGTATCTAGCGGACAGATCAATACCCTCTTCTCTGCAGCACCTGTTCAAAGAAACTCTAGTTGTCATGCCAAAGCAATCTGTGTTTCTATAATAAATCTAAGGGGCTGGCATATCTTAGTGCTACTCCATATCTCCTTCTCTCACTGTATACATTCATCAATGTCAAATGCCATGTTTGGTTGTGGCCCTCAGTGTTTCCCTGTGTTAATTTATCAGGAATAATCGTAATCGTCTGCTGCTCGTTCCAATGTTATCTCTTAAAAAGTGAAACAAATGCATCAGTGTAAGCAGTCACTAATCTCTTTAACAGTGCAACAAACACATCGATGTAAGATTTGAATGATCAGAGGTGACAGCACAGGCAGCTGCTGTCCATCGGAGCTGAGAGGAGAGGTAAGCAACAATACAAGTGTGGGATGTGGCATGATAGCGTAAGTAAGTAATGAAATGGGTAGAGGGTTAACATGACATAGAAGTCAGTAATAAAATGAGATGCGGGGTGGGGTGAAATGACATGACAGCATAGGTAGGTCATGAAATGAGTGCACTGAAAAGTTGACAGCAGAGGTGTTTAATAAAATGAGTGGACAAATAGCATGACAGCAGAGGTAAGTAATGAAATGAGAGGAGAGATGACATAACAGCATAGGTAGATAATGAAATTAGTGGAGAGATAACATGACAGCATAGGTAAGTAATGTAATAAGTGGACTGATGAGACGACAGCAGAGGTAAGTAACAAAATGAGTGGAGAGATGACATGACAGCATAGGTAGGTAATGAAATGAGTGGAGAGATAACATGACAGCATAGGTAAGTAATGAAATAAATGGACTGATGAGATGACAGCAGAGGTAAGTAACGAAATGAGTGGAGAGATGAGATGACAGCATAGGTAGGTAATGAAATGAGTGGAGAGATAACATGACAGCATAGGTAGGTAATGAAATGAGGGGAGAGATAACATGACAGCATAGGTAGGTAATGAAATAAGTGGAGAGATAACATGACAGCATAGGTAAGTAATGAAATAAGTGGAATGATGAGATGACAGCAGAGGTAAGTAACGAAATGAGTGGAGAGATGACATGACAGCATAGGTAGGTAATGAAATGAGTGGAGAGATGACATGACAGCATAGGTAGGTAATGAAATGAGTGGAGAGATGACATGACAGCATAGGTAGGTAATGAAATAAGTAGAGAGATAACATGACAGCATAGGTAGGTAATGAAATGAGTGGAGAGATAACATGACAGCAGAGGTAGGTAATGAAATGAGTAGAGAGATAACATGACAGCATAGGTAGGTAATAAAATGAGTGGAGAGATAACATGACAGCAGAGGTAGATAGTAAAATCAGTGGAGAGATAACATGACAGCAGAGGTGGATAGTAAAATGAGTGGAGAGATGACATGACAACAGAGGTAGTTAGTGAAATGAACAGAAAGATAACATGACAACAGATATATTTAGTGAAATGAATGGAAAGATGACCTGACAGCAGATGTGGTAGTTGATTAAATGAGTGGAGAGATAACATGGCAGCGGAGATAGGTAGTGAAATGAGTGGAGAGATAATATTACAGCAGAGGTGGTAGTTAGTGAAATGAGTGGACAGATAACAATAGCAGCAAATATGGTAGTTAATGAAATGAGTGGAGAGATAACATGGCAGCAGAGACAGGTAGTGCAAAAGGTGGAGAGATAACATGACAGCAGAGGTGGTAGTTTGTGAAATGAGTGGAGAGATAACGTGACAGCAAAGGTATTTAATGAAATTAGTGAAGAGATAACATGGCAGCAGAGATAGGTAGTGAAATGAGTGGAGAGATAACGTGACAGCAAAGGTATTTAATGAAATCAGTGAAGAGATAACATGGCAGCAGAGATAGGTAGTGAAATGATTGGAGAGATAACATGGCAGCAGAGGTAGACAGTGAAATGAGTGGAGAGATAACATGACAGCAGAGGTAGTAGTTAGTGAAATTTATGAATAGATAACATGCCATAAGAGGTAGGTAGTGAATTCACTAAAGAGATAACATGACAACAGAGGCAGTGAAATGAGTGGAGAGATAACATAAAAGTAGAGGTAGTGAAATGAGTGGAAAGATAACATGACAGCTGAGGTAGTTAGTGAAATGAGTGGAGAGGTAACATGCCAGCAGAGGTAGTTAGTGAAATGAGTGTAAAGATAACATGACAGCAGAGGTATTTAATGAAATGAGTGGAGAGATAAAATGATAGCAGAGGTAGCTAATGAAAGGAGTGGAGAGATAACATGGCAGCAGATGTATTTTAATGAGTGGAGAAATGCCATGGCAGCAAAGATTGGTATAAAATTAGTGGAGATATGACATGACAGCAGAGGTAGTTAGTGAAACAAGTGGAGAGATAATATGACAGCAGCGGTAGGTAATGAAATGAGTGGAGAGATGACATGGCAGAAAAGGTAGGTAATGAAATGATTGGAGAGAGTCAAGAATTGACATCACAGCACTTGGGGCATTCCCATCAGCACTCCCTCTACATTCTCAGCAGCCAGCAACAGAGTTCCAATACTAATGGTGCCAATTGTAGCCTGGTTGTATGTCTGTCTTTCCTTTCTTCTGATCGTAGTGTGCTGACCGAAGCTTTTGGTCACACCCAGGTGCATCATTCTCTCCAGCCCAAAATAATCTAGTTTCTCTTCTGACTTTGTTACTTCTCACACAGGGCTGACCACTTCTACCTTGTCAAGTATCAATTCAGTATCCAGCAGTGCAGATCCAGCCAATCTGTCTGCGTGTTCATTCCCCACATTACTGGCATTGTTTGGAGAAAAGATCCAAAGTATGCTCACTACCCGTGACGTTTCAAGTGAAACTTGTCACTCTAAGAGATTAAATCCTGTCTTCACCTTTTTTTTAATGCTTTCCATTAAAATTATGACATGTGTATTTTTCTTGTTCTCTAGCCACCGGCAAGTTGCAGTGACTGCCTCCACCACCATTCTCATGCTAGATGTTGTGGTATCATATGCCAGGCTGTCCTGAACTAAAGATTTTCCATTGGCTTTTGCTACGAAATTCCAGGCACTTCTCTTTCCTCTTAATACAGAACCATCTGTGTAGATAATCAAATGGCCAGGACGAGAATTGTCGTGAATCAACTGTTGGACTCCTACATAGGTAGCCCCAGCTGGCCACTCTCTGTACTCCCAGCCTAATGTGATCATGACCCTACATAGGTCAGACTTTTCCTCTGACTCACTCCTCTTCTCACTTAATGTTTTTCAGCATGTATACTCGTCTTATTGTGTCTTCTCCTTCAGCCATCTATGATTTTCCCCTTTTCAGCCTCTGACGCTTAAATGCATCCAAAGCTTCATACAGAGGGTGCTCTTTATCTGCAGCTACTTTAGCCTATCTGCAATAGTCGACAAGGCAAGGATGTATCGCATGCACACAATCAGGGTGTCTCTTGTACATCCCAGGATCACCTGCATAGCTTCATTCTGTATGCGCTCCAGTTTCACAAGTTGACTCTCTGAGACAGCTAACCCAGTCCATAATCAATCACTGAGATAATTAAGTGCTGGTATGGCGTGAACAGCATTCTCTGCTCCATATCCATTGCTGCCATAATCTTTAGTGCATTAAGACCTTTCTGGCCCTTTGACACAACCACCTCTATGTGATTCCTGAAAGACAGGCTTCCGTCAAAGGTGATTCCCAAGTACCGCAGTCTGCTGTCTCTCTAGATCTCCCTGCCATTTATTGTGAGGCTTGGAACATCAGCTCTAACAATCCTGTTCTCCAAAGAAAACTACAGGACAGTTGCCTTTTCTGGGTTTATTACAACAATCATCTCTGTCGCCTATAACCTAAGAGCTGAAGGATATGTATGCAGTAACAGATGCTGTCCATCAGGGGCCAAGCCATTAACTGCTAACTGTGTTAGTCATAATTTGTCACATTTTTGAGAGACATGTTCCAAAATGCGTTGACTGACTTCGGCCAGGCAAGTACTGCAACTTTCTCTCTTGGTACCTGATCTCATTGTAATCATTCACTCTCTAGCAAATCGTCTCTAGTCCCTACGGCGTAGGCATGACAATAACAAAGAATGTACCTGTTCATGTCGATGCATGCTGAAACACTCTACTGGAGCAGGTTTATGCGTGTGGGTGGTACTTCTCTGGTGAGGTGGCCTATGGTGCTGGCTAAGATGAGGTAGAATAGCAAGACGACTAGGGTAAGGAGTCGAGTTCCAATCCTGGTTTATTGACCGATGTCTATGCACACAAGATAGCAGACCGCGTTGATTAGCGGACTGCGAGCACGTGACACTCAAGGCTGGCTGTCATTGGTTAGGTCTGCTGTGATTATAGGAACAACTCAAGATGGCTGGCGGAGACTGCAGGCTTGTCTTCAGCTGTTTACACTGATTTCTGTTTGTTTCATGGGAAGATGTCTTCGCGATCCGCTAGAACAAGGCATAGTTTCAAATCTTAATTTTGTAGGTAGTCATAGAATGTTAATGTTGTAGATGTGCAATAGAATGTTAATGTTGTTGATGTACCATAGAATGTTAATGTTATAGATGTGCCATAGAATGTTTATGTTGTAAGTGTGCCATAGAATGTTTATGTTGTAGGTGTGCCATAGAATGTTAATGTTGAAGGTGTACCATAGAATGTTAATGTTGAAGGTGTGCCATATAATGTTATTGTTGTAGATCTGCCATAGAATGTTAGTTAATGTTGTAGATGTGCCACAGAATTGTAATAAGGTAGATGTGCTATAGAATGTTAATATTCTGTAGGTGTGCCATAGAATGTTAATATTGTAGGTGTGTCATAGAATGTTAATACTGTAGGTTAAACGTAAGGTCATGAGGATTTACTTCAATGCACCAGGTTTTATCCCATATGGCTCAGTCTCTCTCCGCAGAACAGCTAGCTGCCTGTCAAGACCATCGCACAAAGCATGAGCCGTAGCTCCGGCGTCGATTTCCGTAAGCATTGCACTCGTGAACTGAACGATGCAGCAGTGAAATGAACCCACAACCTTCAGAGCATCAGGCAAATGGCTTGACCACTTTACCACGGAGACCATAGAATGTTAATGTTGTGGGTGTGTCATAGAATGTTAATGTTGTAGGTGTGCCATATAATTTTAATGTTGTAGCTGATCCATAGAATGGAAATGTTGTAGATTTGCCCTATAATGTTAATGTTGTAGATGTGCCATGAAAACCATTGGCTTCAGCTCTACATGATACCATTGACTTCAGCTCTACATGATACCATTGACTTCAGCTCCACATGATACCATTGACTCCAGCTCTACATGATACCATTGACTCTAGCTCTACATGATACCATTGACTCCAGCTCCACATGATAACATTGATGGCAACTCCACATGATACCATTGATGGCAACTCCACAAGAAACAATTGACTCCGGAGCCACATGATATCTTTGACTCCAAATGCACTTGATAATATCAACTCCTGCTTCACATAATAGCATTGACTCAACTCCACATGATACCATTAACTGCAGCTCCGCATAATATCATTGACTGCAGATTATGTCTTTTAGGACAGTAGACTTGATATGAATGAGATGTAGTCAGAGTGAAAACAAACAGCAATTGTGTTTTCTAGGACAGTAGACTTGATATGAGACATAGGCAGAGTGTTAAAAAACAACAGTTATGTCTTCTGGCACAGTAGATTTGACATGACACATAGTTAGACTGTAGCAGTGAGATTATTTGCTTGAACATTTGACTCACTGGTTGGTTAAATGTAGTTGTACCACACACAGTTAAATGTCTGCTTTTATCAACTTCTGTGCCTGGTGTCAGTCGGCCAGGATGTCTGATATGTGTGTGCCTTCTCATGCAAGATGGCTGCTATCACAAGAATGTTTAGTGACTAGATTCATCCTGAATCAGCAATCATGCATTGTTTTATTGGCAGGCAGTAGTAAGAACGAACAAACTTTTTTTAAAAAAGGTGACAAAGTGGGCACACAGGCCCGACTTACATTCAGCCCCTCCAAGCACCCCTCTTTCACACATGTTGTGTTCATTTAATAATATGCATACTATGCATGTTGTGGTCAGATGTTTAGCTCAGTATTCTTATTTTTATCTGGCTGGCCTGCATGCTGCAGTATAAATATGTCAGGTTCAGTGTTTATGAGACACATAGTAACATACTTTAATGGCACATTTGTTTCTGTCCTTCAGCAGCATCACCTTCAGCAGCAGCAGATGCTGGATGTTCCGATGACGACAACTATGGCAGGTACAATCTTCGCAGGCGCACATCACAGAGTAGCAGTGCTGTGCAGCTCTACTTCTCCTCAGATGCTGTGCTGCAACCCTCTAGAAAAAAGAGAAGAAAATCGAGTAATAATCCAGCACTACAACCACAAGGTACAACCCTACATAGATACTGTTCTATAACACACCTGTCAGGAGTACACATTTATATAACACATCTATCTAGTGTAGCTGTTTTTATAACACATCTGTAAGGTGTAAACATTTATATGACACATCTATCTAGTTTAGCTATTTTTATAACACATCTGTAAGGTGTAAACATTTATATAACACATCTGTCAGGTGTATGCACTTATATAACCTATCTGACACATGTATACACTTATATAACATATCTTATCAAGTGTACAAACATGTATAACACATCCATCAAGTGTACAAACTTAGATAGAACACATCTAACAGGTGTAAATATTTTTATAACATCTGTCATGTATACATAATTATGTAACACATGTTGGGTGCACATACTTACAGGACAAATCTGCCCCAGTGTACACGCTTATGTAACACATCTGTCAGGTGTACACAGTATCACACTTATGTAACTTACATTGATTAGAGACACTTGAGTCATGTGTCCAATGTTGTTGTGGTCATTGTTGATTAGAGACACTTGTGCCATGTGTCCAATGCTGTTGATGTCATTGTTGATTAGAGACACTTGTGCCATGTGTCCAATTTTGTTGATGTCATTGTTGATTAGAGACACTTGAGTCATGTGTCCAGTGTTGTCGATGTCATTGTTAGAGACACTTGTGCCATGTGTCCAATGTTGTTGATGTCTCTTCTTCTTCTTCGCGTTCACCAGCTGTACACTCTGGCGTAGTTCTGGTTGTTCGTCCACTTCTGGACTTCAGTCCTGCTCCAGAACCTGAGTGTTGCGTGTGCATCAGTTTTACAGATCTGATTCAATTGAATGCAGACTGCTGGTTCCTTGCCTCTCAGGCAGATGCACTCTGACTTCAAAGGAAGCTCCCCAGTTAGTCGACTCTTACGACATGCTTTTGGGAGGGCAGTGGGTCTATTCTTGTTTTCCCCACAAAAGGGCCCCTGAACCCACACAGGGGATTGTTGATGTCATTGTTGATTAGAGACACTTGAGTCATGTGTCCAGTGTTGTTGATGTCATTGTTGATTACAGACACTTGTGCCATGTGTCCAGTGTTGTTGATGTCATTGTCGATAAGTGACACTTGTGCCAAGTGTCCAATGTTGTTGTTGTCATTGTTGATTAGAGACAATTGTGCCATGTGTCCAATGTTGTTGTTGTCATTGTTGATTAGAGACACTTGAGTCATGTGTCCAGTGTTGTCGATGTCATTGTTGATTAGAGACACTTGTGCCATGAGTCCAATGTTGTTGATGTCATTGTTAATTAGAGACACTTATGCCATGTTTGTTGTCATTCTTAATTATACACACTTATTCTATGCTGTGTATGTCCTTGTTGATACACACTTATGCCATGTTGTTGATGTCATTGTTGATTAGAGATACTTTTGCCATGCTGCTGATGTCATTGTTGATTATACAGACTTGTGCCATGTTGTTGATGTCATTGTTGATTATACACACTTGCGCCATGTTGTTTATGTCATTGTTGATTGTACACATTTGTGCCATGTTGTTGATGTCACTGTTGATTAGAGACACTTGTGCCATGTTGTTGATATCAATATTGATTAGAGACACTTGTGCCGTGTTGTTGATTAGAGACACTTGTGCCATGTTGTTGAATTAGAGATACTTGTGCTGTGTTGTTGATTAGAGACACTTGTGCCGTGTTGTTGATATCAATATTGATTAGAGACACTTGTGCCATGTTGTTGATTAGAGACACTTGTGCAATGTTGTTGATTAGAGACGCTTGTGCCGTGTTGTTGATTAGAGACACTTGTGTCATGTTGTTGATATCAATATTGATTAGAGACACTTGTGCCGTGTTGTTGATTAGAGACACTTGTGCCGTGTTGTTGATTAGAGTCACTTGTGCCATGTTGTTGATATCAATATTGATTAGAGATACTTGTGCCGTGTTGTCTTTCTATAGACACTTGTGCCATGTTGTTGATTACACTTGTGCCATGTTGTTGATGTTATTGTTGATTAGAGACACTTGTGCCATGTTGTTGATTAGAGACACTTGTGCCGTGTTGTTGATTAGAGACACTTGTGCCATGTTGTTGATATCAATATTGATTAGAGACACTTGTGCCGTGTTGTTGATTAGAGACACTTGTGCCATGTTGTTGATTAGAGACACATGTGCCGTGTTGTTGATTAGAGACACTTGTGCCATGTTGTTGATTAGAGACACTTGTGCCATGTTGTTGATGTCATTGTTGATTAGAGACACTGGTGCCATGTTGTGGATGTCATTGTTGGTTAGAGACACTTGTGCCATGTTGTTGATGTCATTGTTGATTAGAGATACTTGTGCCGTGTTGTCTCTCTATAGACACTTGTGCCATGTTGTTGATTACACTTGTGCCATGTTGTTGATGTTATTGTTGATTAGAGACACTTGTGCCATGTTGTTGATTACACACACCACTACCGTGTTGTTGATTAGAGACACTTGTTCCATGTGGTTGATGTCATTGTTGATTAGAGACACTTGTCATGTTTTGTTGATGTCATTGTTGATTAAAGACACCTGTGTCATGTTGTGTTGATGTCATTGTTGATAAGATACACTTGTGCCATGTTGTTGATGTCATTGTTGATGAGAGACTCTTGTGCCATGTTGTTGATTAGAGACACTTGTGCCATGTTGTTGATGTCATTGTTGATTAGAGACACTTGTGTCATGTTTTGTTCATGTCAGCACTATTGTATTCACAAACACCAGGTCGGGTGGCTGCTAGATACTTGCAGCATGAGCTCCCAGATGAGGTGATGTTCTATATCTTCTCCTTCCTCAAAGAGCTGGACCTTTGTAACGCTGCCCAGGTTTGTCGCAGGTTCCGATCCATTGCCAGTGACCATGAGTTGTGGTGAGTCTGTTGGTGTTTTCTCCATGTTCACAGTTCATTTTCTGATCTATTGCCAGTAGGGCTGTACTGAATAGTGGTTTTACTATTCAGCCAAATAAGAATAGCGGGATCAACTATTCGGCCGGATACAAATACGAATAGTGTATCATCATCAGGTGCCTTGCCGATTGGCATGGGTAAATATGCCTCATCACAATCTGCGATCTCCTGCAGCATGTATTAGTTGCTGTGCTGAAACACCTCCATGCCATGCAACAAGACTGTCAAGAATCTTCTCTCGTTGTCTTCCTCTATCCCTCCTTCCACAGTTCTTTCCAGTGGTCACCACATATTCCATTTTCCCTCTTCTGATAACGTGGCAGAAAAATGATATCTCCTTCTGATGTCTGTCATTAGTTGTCTTTGGGCTCCTGCAACTTTCAAAGCCTCTTGGTTGCTTTTTTTTGCTGTCCAGGGTATTTTAAGCATTGTTCTGAGAAACCAAATCTCTGAGGCCTCAAATTGTTTGGCCTGCCTACCGATTGTCCAGGACTCACAGCGCATTACGTTTAAATATAAGTGCTTACTTGACGAGGCTAACAGTGACTATTGTGCAGACCACATTTTCCACTTTAAAATTTCAACCAAAATGTAATCACAACTTTATTTATCCGCTGCACCTTAATGAATACAGATGGAGGATATGTCGCACCTCAAGATAAATACAAAGACAATTTTTAGCACGCTGCAGTTGGCATTTTATGCAGTATTACACTCTTTGAGTATCCTTTGAAATTAGGACAAAAACTCTTTTTGACAGTGGCGATGAAAGACAATTTGGCTATCCTCCCAAAAATGGCCACATCTTTTGGCGGCCAAAAACAGGGCCTCACTCACACACAAAATGCAGACTTAAATTGGGCACTTCCTGCATCTACCGCCACCGCCGAGAGTATCTCCCACGTCGCTACGCGCAGCGCGGATTAGGGCTAAACTAGAAGGCTGGGATTCATGAGCAAAGCAGCAGGAGATGCAGAAGTGCGCAATTTAAATCGCCGGAAGTCCTCATTTTTTGTGTGTGACTGAGGCCCTGTTAGGGTGTTTTTGTGGCCGCCATAATATGTGTTTTGGATGTGAATCTACTGTCATTTGATTTATAAATTGTCTGAGGTTGTTTGCTATAAACATGGATGTCATTGTCTGAATGTGTCCTGACTGTGTTTTTTGTCTGGAACTTTCAGGAAGGTGCTCTATGTTGAAGTATTTGAATATGACAATCCTTTGATGAATCCTGAGCCCCGCATATTCCAGTTTGTGTCCCCTGAGGATGCCAGTTATGAAAATCCATGGAAGGAGAGCTTTAAACAGTTGGTAAGTTATTATTATACAGTGCTTGTCTAAAAAAAAAAATACCACCAGGGCATAATTAGAATGTCAGCCATGCCAGGACTGATAGACCTAGTGACTGGACTAATATAGGGCTAATACAACTATAGAATTCCATAGAAAAAACCCTTTCAGTGCAGAAAGTAAAGGGTAACTTTAGTATTACCTGGTTGCAGGGGATGTCCTGAAGAAGTCTAATAGGCCTGGCATAATATCAGAAAAATCGGCGGATGGAGCTTGAACGCATGCAGAACGAACGAACGAACTTTATTTTCAAAGGGTCACAAATTGGGCACGCAGGCCCGTCTTACATTCGGCCCTTCCAGTCAACCATCTTTCGCACAGCAGTTGTATTTTTACTAATAAAGCATGTTATGATCATATGATAATATGCATATTATGAATATTATAAAAGAACACAAAAGCATGAGTTGTAAAGTGCATGCATAAAACCCGCGCGTGCATACATACACCCACATACACACGATCACCCACTCACACACACATACATGCATGCAAACATTACATACATACATATATACTTACATACATACAAAAAAACATGCAAACAGGCATATACACAGGCATACATACATACAAACATACATACATACATAGATACAAACATACAGTCATAAATACAGTCATGCATGGAGACACTCCCACAAAGACACACATGCTCACTTAGACAAAAATACAGACACACACACACAGACTCTTACATATAAACACACACAGGAAAACACAGCACACATATTTACATTCGTGCTCACACACTTACACACACACCACACACACACGCAGACAAACATGCAGACACATACATACAGCCACACACACGCAGTCAAACACACACACACACACAAACACATAGAAATACACTCGCAGACACATATATTCAGCACGCACAGACATATACTCTGACATGCAGACACATACAGACAACAAAGGGGCACACCCAATACACACAGAGAAACACACATAGACATACACAGACAGACACATGCTGACACATACACTCACGCAGACATACAGACAGACACCCACACACAAAGATACATACATACAGCCTCTAAGACACACCCGCAGACAAAACACATAAACATACACAGGCAAACATGCAGACGAACACACAGACACAAACGAAGATATACACACAGTCACATGAAATGAAGCCATGCATGCCATTCTGAAATGTACAAGAGATAACCTGTTAGTATGTGTGTGGTATATACTGCATAAAGCCCTTGGTAGAGATAAGGGTCACAGACTAAACAAATAACGGTTCTAGATGGCGTATTGAACATGTGACGGCTTGATAAATTTGGACGAGGAGAGGAGTGGCTCAGTGTCCGAGCAGGAATCGACTTGTGTAGGATTCTAATAACATTAGACCATGCGTACAGGGACTGGTCAGCGGGCGCTGCACAATTAGAAGTTTGAGACGAACTGATAAATGCAGTTGCAGATTATGGAGATTGCATAATAGCCCGTGTAAGTCAGCAAGGTACTTGATGATGATGATTGTTTTTGTTGTGGGTATAGTATCACTTTTATCTTGTTATTACATGAATCGTTTTATATGTTGTTTTGTTGTAGGAATAGCTTCACTTATTAAATTTTTTTTGCTTGTTCATATGTTTAGGTAGAGTATTGTACTGATGTGATTTGTGTTTGTTGTTGACAGTACAGGGGGATCCATGTGTCCAGGGACAGTATCCCCCAGTGTGAGACATCCAAAGGCAAGCGCTTAAAGGGAAGAAATTTGATCGTGAGTTTCCTGTTGTGGGTTGACATGGCTGATAATATTTACCTGTGTAAAGTTGTGGCTGATAATATCTACATGGATATAGTTGTAGCTGATAATATCTACAGGTATATAGTTGGGGCTGATATCTACAGGTATATAGTTGGGGCTGATATCTACAGGTATATAGTTGGGGCTGATATCTACAGGTATATAGTTGGGGCTGATATCTACATGTATATAGTTGGGGCTGATATCTACAGGTATATAGTTGGGGCTGATATCTACAGGTCTACTGATATCACATGTATATAGTTGGGGCTGATATCTACAGGTATATAGTTGGGGCTGATATCTACAGGTGTATAGTTGGGGGCTGATATCTACAGGTATATATAGTTGGGGCTGATATCTACAGGTATATAGTTGGGGCTGATATCAGGTACAGTGTGATATCTACAGGTGTTGTTGGGGGCTGATATCTACAGGTATATAGTTGGGGCTGATATCTACAGGTATATATAGTTGGGGCTGATATCTACAGGTTATAGTTGGGGGCTGATATCTACAGTGTATAGTTGGGGCTGTTTGGGATTGCTGATATCTACAGGTATATAGTTGGGGCTGATATCTACATGTGTATAGTTGGGGCTGATATCTACATGTGTATAGTTGGGGCTGATAACTACAGGTATATAGTTGGGGCTGATATCTACAGGTATATAGTTGGGGCTGATATCTACAGGTATATAGTTGGGGCTGATATCTACATGTGTATAGTTGGGGCTGATATCTACATGTGTGTGATTGGGGCTGATATCTACATGTGTATGGTTGGGGCTGATATCTATACGTGTATAGTTGGGGCTGATATCTACATGTGTATAGTTGGGGCTGATATCTACATGTATATAGTTGGGGCTGATATCTACATGTGTATAGTTGGGGCTGATATCTACATGTGTGTGATTAGGGGCTGATATCTACATGTGTATGGTTGGGGCTGATATCTATACGTGTATAGTTTTGGCTGATATCTACATGTGTATAGTTGGGGCTGATATCTACATGTGTATAGTTGGGGCTGATATCTACAGGTATATAGTTGGGGCTGATATCTACATGTGTGTGATTGGGGCTGATATCTATACGTGTATAGTTTTGGCTGATATCTACATGTGTATAGTTGGGGCTGATATCTACATGTGTATAGTTGGGGCTGATATCTACATGTGTATGATTGGGGCTGATATCTACATGTGTATGATTGGGGCTGATATCTACACGTGTATGATTGGGGCTGATATCTACATGTGTATGATTGGGGCTGATATCTACATGTGTATGATTGGGGCTGATATCTACATGTATATAGTTGGGGCTGATATCTACATGTGTATGATTGGGGCTGATATCTACATGTATATAGTTGGGGCTGATATCTACAGGTATATAGTTGGGGCTGATATCTACAGGTATATAGTTGGGGCTGATATCTACATGTATATAGTTGGGGCTGATATCTACAGGTATATAGTTGGGGCTGATATCTACAGGTATATAGTTGGGGCTGATATCTACAGGTATATAGTTGGGGCTGATATCTACAGGTATATAGTTGGGGCTGATATCTACAGGTGTATAGTTGGGGCTGATATCTACATGTGTATAGTTGGGGCTGATATCTACAGGTATATAGTTGGGGCTGATATCTACAGGTATATAGTTGGGGCTGATATCTACATGTGTATGGTTAGGGCTGATATCTACAGGTATATAGTTGGGGCTGATATTTACATGTTTATTATTAATAACCCCCCCCCCCCCCCCCCCCCCCGAGTTTGTGCTTAAGAGATTTGACACAATAGTCTGCCTACATTGCAATTAATTGTTCCCTTCCTCAGAAATTTGACACTATAGAGTCTGCCTACAATTTTGCTGACACAGAAGAGCTGGAAGATGCTCTGATCTTCATACACTCAGGTGTTTATCATGGAGAATTTTTGCTGATTGATTCTCCCATTTCAATGATTGGTGCTGGTAAGGCTTATCACAGTCATGTGTGTTTTATCATAGTTCCAACATCTATGACTCTGTGGTTTGTCACCATTTATGTATGTATGACATCTAATGTTTGTCACTGTTTATTTATGTGATAACAGAGATTTAGGGTTAGTAATATATGTGTGATGTCTGAGGTTTGACATTTTTGTTTATATGATATCTAAGGTTTGCCACCATGCAGCAGATTCACTGAGAAACAGAAGATTAGATGGTTTCGTCATTTTTAAAGAATGCAGCCAGAACAACTACCAAAGCAAGCGCTGCAAAGTAAAAGGTCTGAAGTGAAAGCAAAAAGCTGCCCTAGGAGAACATAGATTGCTTACATTAAAGAGCTTCTGCATCAACATGGAATGACAGTTGTCATTGCTGCCTATCAGGCAATGGATCGCCAACTGTTCTTCCACAACGCTTAATAGGAGAAGTGAAAATTGATGATGATGATGATGGTTTACCACTGTTTTTGTGTCTATATATGACATCTAAGGTTTGTCACTGTTTTGTATATATTACATCTGAGTTTAGTCACAGTTTTTGCAAATATGACATCAGAGGTTTACCACTGTTTTTGTGTATATGACACCTGAGGTTTGCCAATGTTTTTTGGATTATTGACATCTGGGGTTTTTCACTGTTTATATACATATAAAATCTGAGGTTTGTCGCTGCTTGTGTATGTATAACATTTGAGATTTTTCACAGTTCTGAATTCAGTATGTCTGAATTCTCAATGGATTTGCATGAGTTGGGACTTTGACAGCTGTGTTACCCATGTGGCTTCAAGCCCGCATTTTTGGGATAATAAGAATAGATCTGCTGCCTCCCCAACAAGTGGTGAAAATATGGGGATGACTGCAGTCAAACTTATGCCAAAGAATTCCAGTGAAATGTGACTAAAAAGCTAAACGAAATGGGGAAGCAGAAAAATGTCCACAAAACAAAATATGGGGATGACTGCAGTCAAACTTATGCCAAAGAATTCCAGTGAAATGTGACTAAAAAGCTAAACGAAATGGGGAAGCAGAAAAATGTCCACAAAACAAAATATGGGGATGACTGCAGTCAAGCTTATGCCAAAGAATTCCAGTGAAATGTGACTAAAAAGCTAAAACGAAATGGGGAAGCAGAAAAATGTCCACAAAACAAAATATGGGGATGACTGCAGTCAAGCTTATGCCAAAAAATTCCAGTGAAATGTGACTAAAAAGCTAAACGAAATGGGGAAGCAGAAAAATGTCCACAAAACAAAATATGGGGATGACTGCAGTCAAACTTATGCCAAAGAATTCCAGTGAAATGTGACTAAAAAGCTAAACGAAATGGGGAAGCAGAAAAATGTCCACAAAACAAAATATGGGGATGACTGCAGTCAAACTTATGCCAAAGAATTCCAGTGAAATGTGACTAAAAAGCTAAACGAAATGGGGAAGCAGAAAAACGTCCACAAAACAATGTTTTATCCATGTGGACATTTTTCTGCTTTCCTGTTTTGTTAAGCTTTTTAGTCACATTTCACTGGAATCATGTTGTAAGAGTTGACTGGGAAGAAAGGGGGGGGGGGGGGGGGGGGGCTCCTTTGAGGCCTGAATGCCTGAGAGGCAATGGAGCAGTGGTATGTACACAGATTTGTCAATCTGTAAAATGGATGTGCACACAGCACTCAAGTTCTGGTACAAGACTAAAGTCGGGTGGATGAACGACCAGAATTTTCCACCAGTTGTTTACAGCCTATGAACGTGAGGAAGTAGAAGACAGCTGTGTTAGTATGTTTATGCTGCGTGATTTCTGTTGGATGTTGTCTCTTCCCGCACTGTTGATTCTATGTTAATTCTGTTGTCAGCACCAGGCAATGTCATGGACCATGTGATCATTGAAAGGGAGACTGAGTCAACCATGATGTTTGTTGAGGGAGCCAAGAAAGCTTACCTTGGATATGTCACTCTGAAGGTGTGTTGTCACTCAGGAAATTTATTGTCACATTTTATGTCACTCTGATGGTGTGTTGTCACTTGTTTATGTCACTATAAAGGTGTATAGTCACTCTGTATTTCAGTCTGAAGGTGTATTGTCACTCTTTATATTACTCTAAAAGTGTCTAGTGACTCTGTCATTCTAAGGCATGTTATCACTCTTAAAGTTTATTGTTACTCGACACTCTTTATTTACTCTAAAGGTGTGTTGTCAATCGTTATGTCGCTCTAGCTGTGTGTTGTCATTCTTTATATCATTCCAATGCATCTTATCACTCTTTATGCCATTCTAAGAGATGTCCTCTTTATGCCATTCTAATGCATGTTGCCACTCTTTACATCATTTTAAAGCATTTTTCACTCTTTATGCTACTCTAAAAATGTGTTGTCACTCTTTTCTAATTCATGTATTTACTTTTTGTGTTACTCTAAGGCATGTTGTAACTCTTTGTATAATTCAAATGCATTTTATCACACTTTGTATCATTCTAAGACCTGTTATCACACTTTGAATCATTCTAAGGCATATTGTTACTCTTTATATCATTATAAGGCATGTTGTCACTCTTTTTGTCACTCTGAAAATGTGTGTTCATCTTCATCATTGTCACTCTTTATGTCACTCTTAAAGTGTGTTGTCAATTTTTAAATAATTTTAAGGCATGGTGTCACTCATTGTATCATTCTAAAGCATGTTGTCACTCTTTATCACTCTAAACATGTGTTGTCACTCTAAGGCATATTGTAACTCTTTGTATCATTTTAAGGCATGTTGTCACTCTTTATCACTCTAAACATGTGTTGTCACTCTAAGGCATATTGTAACTCTTTGTATCATTTTAAGGCGTGTTGTCACTCTTTATCACTCTAAACATGTGTTGTCAATCTAAGGCATATTGTAACTCTTTGTATCATTCTAAGGCATGTTGTCACTCTTTATCACTCTAAACATATGTTGTCACTCTAAGGCATATTGTAACTCTTTGTATCATTTTAAGGCATGTTGTCACTCTTTATCACTCTAAACATGTGTTGTCACTCTAAGGCATATTGTAACTCTTTGTATCATTTTAAGGCATGTTGTCACTTTTTGTATCATTCTAAAGCATGCTGTGACTCTTTGTATCATTTAAAGGCATATTGTCATTCTTTATGTCACTCTGAGCCCGGCTTGCTAGCACAGTTGGCTAAACAGGACTTTTATTTTCTCTTTTTCCTCCAAAATAATAAAATGGGATTAAATAGGGTGGACTGCATCTATCTGTCTCTGTGTGTGCACATGTGTAAGTTTACATGTGTGTGCACGCGCATGCATACTCGTGCATTTGTATGCACACCACATGTGTGTGTATGTATGTGTGTGTAAGTGGATGTGGGTGGACGTGTTCATGCATGTGCCTGTGTGAGCATGCATTTTAGCACCCATGTATTTTTTCTTATGCATTTTATGAACATCACATGCTTTATTGATAAAATGCAACTGTTGTGTGAAAAATGGGTGTTTTGAAAGCCGGATGTAACAAGGGCCTGCGCGCCCAATTTGTGACACTTTGAAAATAAAGTTTGTTTTCTCTCTCTCTCTCTCTCTCTCTCTCTCTCTCTCCTCCTCCCCCCCTCCCCCCCCCCACCCACCCACCCACCCATACACACACATATGTTCGCTTGTATATATACATACATACAATGCAGCACAACATCAACAAATTCAGTGAAGCCTGTACAAACTTTGGGCTCACCATCAGCAAAGATAAAACTAGCCTTGCACCAGCCAGCCCCAGGGAAAAGATGCATCGAGCCCAATATTAGTGTAATGACCCTGCTTTGCATGGTTTCCACGAGTACATTGTGGCAAGCAGGAAGTCCGTGCTACAAGTGACGGCACGAGATACTTGTGGCTGGTGGAGCAAGCGAGGGGAAGCCCGAGCTAGCCTCGTGGTCAGTGGATCATGAGAAGTCAGAGAAGACGGTTGTAGTAATTGAAGAAGTCGTCTTTATGTCGCGCAAATGGTTAGTGTTGGAATATGTCGCGAGTGATAAAGTGTGAATAATTGTTTGAATATGTGAAATAAATGGACCAGAATAAACTGACAGAATGTACCAACAAGCTGAGCGGCGTTTGTGTTGTCAACCCTAGACGTTAAAGCAGTACAAGTTTTGTAGCAGTAAACATCCAGAGAGTGAGCCGTGGCGAAAGCCAATAGGTAGTAAGCCAAAGCGCAGTCCAAGTCAAGCCAAGGTTTATTACAAATGGGAGCTCGTCCGGGATTTGAACCCGGGACCTCTCGCACCCCAAGCGAGAATCATGATTGAAATATGATAATCTTGAAGATGAAGACTGCTAAAATGTCAATTGTTGATGATTGTTTAAGTTTACTCTTGGTCGTATGGTTGCAGGTGGTTCTATATAGCTTCTTGACTGATAATAATATTGAGCTTCATGCATGGTGATATGTTAGATTGATGTTGATGTTCAGGATGATGGGCCGTATGGTTTCAAGTTAGTAAATAGTGATACTTCAGTTCATAAATAAAGATGGTAATTTTTCCTTGAATCAGCTGTTATTTTTGTTGATGGAGATGACTTTGTTCCCAGACTCTTATATCTTCATCAGAACAGTCTCTAATGTTGAAGTCTTTGTATCCCAGAATCAGATCTATTCCGATGTCGTTCGTTACCAGTACTTTCAATGGTTTTGATATATAGGGCGACTTCAAATACATATAAGCTGTTTGTATTCGCATCAATTCACCTTCTCTGTCAAAACAGTAAACCATTTCTCCGCTTAAATATGATTTTTCTATAAATTTGTCACGTACCAAAGTGATATTTGATTTTTTATTTAATTGCATTTGTGCTGGTTTGTTGTTTATCAAACATTTAGTTGACTTTTCACGATATTTTTTACTTGTTGCTATGTGGAATTGATCATAATGTATATATTTATTGTCCTCTAAGAATGAAAATTCTTTATTCATGGCTTGTCTATCCAGTGGTATTTCACAATCTGGCTGTTTCATACATTGAGTTTGCAATTCACTTTTTCCTTGATTGTGATTCTTAGCCGATTCCGATTCAGAAGATTTCATTTCTGGAAAAATTTGTGTTTGCAGTTTTTAAATTTGACTTGCTCGCTGTTTCATTAGCTGCTGTCTTTTCCCCTTCAACTTTCTTGCTTATATTTCTTTTGCTGGATTCTAATTCTGCAATGATGATTTTGTTCTTTATCCTTTTAGTTCCTGGACATATTATTTGGTACGTTCCTATCCAAATTGTATGTGGCTCTGTTGTTTTTCCCTGTTTTTTCCTCCAGTCGCATACTGCACAATCTAGAGTAGGTGACGTAAGAGCTTCTAAATCCATTCTTTCTTGCTTAGTTTTTACATACCAGGATCTTTTCTTGTCTTTTAACATCTGTTTCCCAACACAGTGTTTTACAATATGTCCAAATGCTGAGCAAAAATGGCATTTTATAGGGTTGTTGTTGTTTTGTTTATTTTGCCACTTTTTATTGACCAAGTCTTCAATATAGCTTGAATATTTAGGATCTCTATCGCAGATAGTTGAAGAACTGTGCTGGTACTTAAAAAAAATACACATCTTGATCTTCTGGTTGCTTATCGATGTATCTTTCATTGTTGTCGCTGATAATACTTGCGACAAAGCGTTCTTATGTTTTACCAACCTTTTAGACGCCATTCTGATAAATGCACGATCGATGCAAAAAATGTCACCGTAGTAAGAAAACTGATCGTAACTGTAAATAAAATTAGTTCATAGTCCGCTAGTTTCCGCGAAACAATAATGGTCACAAACCTGATTTAATGGCAGGACGTTGATGACACACAACTATGTTGGCGTGTGTTCCATGGTACGCTGTTTTTCATTGGTTATCTGTACTGTAGCACGCTGTGCTTTGAGGTTCTGCTCGGGTGAAGACGATGTATCGTACACTGTTTTCCGCATGTTTGTCTTACCTTGGAAGAAACAAAAATGTTTTCCTAATGATTGTGGTCTGTGTGGTTCTCAAATTTTCATCGGACGGGCTCGCATTTGTAATAAACCTTGGCTTGACTTGGACTGCGCTTTGGCTTACTACCTATTGGCTTTCGCCACGGCTCACTCTCTGGATGTTTACTGCTACAAAACTTGTACTGCTTTAACGTCTAGGGTTGACAACACAAACGCCGCTCAGCTTGTTGGTACATTCTGTAAGTTTATTCTGGTCCATTTATTTCACATATTCAAACAATTATTCACACTTTATCACTCGCGACATATTCCAACACTAACCATTTGCGCGACATAAAGACGACTTCTTCAATTACTACAACCGTCTTCTCTGACTTCTCATGATCCACTGACCACGAGGCTAGCTCGGGCTTCCCCTCGCTTGCTCCACCGGCCACAAGTATCTCGTGCCGTCACTTGTAGCACGGACTTCCTGCTTGCCACAATGTACTCGTGGAGACCATGCAAAGCAGGGTCATTACAATTAGAGTGAATGGCTACAGATTAAACGTTGTCAGGAAATTTACTAATCTAGGCAGCACCCTTTCACAGAGCGCCACATTTGATGACAAAGTAAATGCAAGGACCTCTAGGGCTAGCGTTGCCTTTGGCAGATTGTACAGAAATGTTTGGAACAAAAGTGGCATAACCCTGCAGACAAAGCTTAAAGTATACAGAGCAGTTGTAATAACTACACTGCTGTTCTTCTTCTTCTTCTTCTCTTCCACCTTTTACCTCATTGAAGTGTCAGGGGGAGATGTAATGTTTATTGATGAGCTCTGTCAAGAGAACTATTAAGACTGATGTTTATTTCTGTAAGGCTGTTCTTAATGCCATCACTCCATATTTTCCGAGGTCTTCCACTCGCTCTATACCCGTTGTAACGTTTTAGTGTGGCTCGCTTTGGTGGATAGTACCAGGGCATTCTTGTTAGGTGTCCAAACAATTTCATTTGTTGTTCTTTGATGACCTATAAGACTGGCTTTATTCCTAGCATTCGTCTGATTTCATGATTTCGTATTCTGTCTTTCCTTGAAACTCCTTCAGCTCTTCTAAGGCATTTCATCTCTGTTGTCACAATTTTACGTTCATTGGAGAATGTAAGTGTCCCCTTTTGGCATTGATAGCATAGTGTTAACAAAAAAATAGTTCTGATAAGATTCACTTTAGTACCCCGAGGTATCTGCTTGTGTGTCAACAGGGGAGATAGTTGACCCATTACGTGATTAGCTTTGGCACATCTGGAGCTAATTTCTCTGTCCAGTTTTCCGAAGAGAAATTCTGTAATATCTTCTTCATGTTTAAAGTTCGTTTCGCTTCATATGGCATCCATGTATGTTATAAAAAGAAGCGGCGATAGTACACAGCCCTGATGCACACCAGAGTTCACTATAAAAGTTCTTGACAACCCTGCCTTAGATCTTATGCAGCATTTACTACGTGTGTACAGGCTTTTGCAAATATTAATGAGATGATTGCTGATTCCTTTTTTTCCCATAATTCCTGTCAACTCTATCAAAGGCTTTTTCTTAGTCTATGAATGTCAACAAACATGTCTTATCATGTTCTATTGCCCTCTCTGAAACTGCTGTATGCATGTGAAACATGGACTGTATACCAGCGCCAGGCTAGAAAGTTAAACCACTTTCACACAGTCTGCTTTAGGAAACTAATGCAGATCAGATGGCAAGACAAAGTACCTGATACTGTAGTCCTTGAGAAAGCAGCCATGCCCAGCATCCACACTCTACTGATGCAGTATCAAATTTGTTGGGCTGGTCATGTGGCACACGTGCCAGATCATAGGCTCCCAAAAAAAACTCTTCTATGGTGAGCTGCAAAATGGGAAACGTTCCCAAGGCGGGCAAAAGAAATGCTTCAGGGAAACCTTGAAGTCTTCACTCAAAGCATTTGGGATAAATGACACCAATTGGGAGGCTGCCTCTCAAGACTGAAATGCAAGGCGTGCAACTCTACACAAGGGCACGGCTACATGTGAAGCAAACAGAACAGCAAGACTGATTAAGAAAAGGATTGACAGAAAGGCGACTGCAGGAGATCCCCTCACTGGCACCACGCTAATTCCCTGTCCTCACTGTCCAAGAACTTTTCGGGCTCGAGTCGCCTCATCAGTCATCTTCATACTCATAGTTGATGAAAAAGAGTGGTCATTATCATCTTGATGGACAACACACACATACACACAGGACTTCTTTTACGGTACACAGCATCTGCACTCTTTTATATATTTCTTTGTGTTGAGTACTGACTACTGTATTTGGCCATTTTATAGTGAGTACTGGCAACTTTATTTAGCCAGGATGTGTTTAGTACTGACAATTTTATTTAGCTAGGTTGTGTTGATTTGGCAGCTTTGTTTAGCCACTTTGTTGGTTGATTTTATATGATCAAAAATTCAGTTGCTGACATGAAATTATTGGTCTATCATGTTTCAGTTTTCCCCTGACAGCTCCTCTACCATTCCTCATCACCGCCATTATGCATTAGAAATTGCAGAGAACACACAGCCCATCATTGACCATTGTAAAATTAAAAGTTTATCTGTTGGTAAGTGATGTATCTTGTTCTGATGTTGATCAGTGATGTCTGTTGTAATCACAGTCAGCCTGTTGGTCCATGACATCTCTTGTTATAATGGTTAACTACTTTTGATTTCATAAACACAAGTGTCGCATACTCTATAAACTGTTGATAGCTCAGACACAAGTGTTGCATACTCTATAAACTGGTGATAGCACAGACACAAGTGTTGCATACTCTGTAAACTGTTGATAGCTCAGACACAAGTGTGGCATTCTCTATAAACGATTGATAGCACAGACACAAAAATGGCGTTCTCTATAAACTATTGATAGCACAGACAAAAGTGTGGCTTTCTCTATAAACTATTGATAACACAGACACAAGTGTTGCATACTCTATAAACTGTTGATAGCACACACAAGTGTTGCATACTCTATAAACTGTTAATAGCACACACAAGTGTTGCATACTCTGTAAACTGTTGATAGCACAGACACAAAAATGGCGTTCTCTATAAACTATTAATAGCACAAACACAAAAATGGCGTTCTCTATAAACTATTGGTAGCACAGACACAAGTGTTGCAATTTCTGTCAACTGTTGATAGCACAGACACCTGTTGCCTTTTGTGTTGTATTTTATTCTATGTCAACTGGTGATGTCACAGACACAAGTGTACCATTCTTTGCAAGCACCTGTCTGCATTCTCTTAACTTGCATGTGAAATTATGAGCCAAGAAGGTGGCTACAACCATCAATGATCAGCACTTGCAACCTTATCTAATTCACACAATATAACAGCTGTGAGTCTCAGTTCTTGGGACAACCCAGAGATACATTGGCTGCCTAGCTACTTGTCAGAGATAGCTGTGTGGTTATAATTAAGATATTGTGTGGTTATAGTAATGGACACTGGGTAGTTATATAAAATGGACACTGTGGTTATAATTAAGATATTGGGTGGTTATAGTAATGGACACTGGGTAGTTATATAAAGTGGGCACTGTGGTTATAATTAAGATAGTGTGTGGTTATAGTAATGGACACTGGGTAGTTATATAAAGTGGGCACTGTGGTTATAATTAAGATATTGTGGTTATAGTCATGGACACTGGGTAGTTATATAAAATGGACACTGTGGTTATAATTAAGATATTGGGTGGTTATAGTAATGGACACTGGGTAGTTATATAAAGTGGGCACTGTGGTTATAATTAAGATAGTGTGTGGTTATAGTAATAGACACTGGGTAGTTATATAAAGTGGACACTGTGGTTATAATTAAGATAGTGTGTGGTTATAGTCATGGACACTGGGTAGTTATATAAAGTGGGCACTGTGGTTATAATTAAGATATTGTGTGGTTATTGTCATGGACACTGGGTAGTTATATAAAGTGGGCACTGTGGTTAAAATTAAGATAGTGTGTGGTTATAGTAATGGACACTGGGTAGTTATATAAAGTGGGCACTGTGGTTATAATTAAGATATTGTGGTTATAGTCATGGACACTGGGTAGTTATATAAAATGGACACTGTGGTTATAATTGAGATATTGTGTGGTTATAGTCATGGACACTGGGTAGTTATATAAAGTGGACACTGTGGTTATAATAAATAGACATTGTGTGGTTATAGTCATGGACACTGGGTAGTTATATAAAGTGGACACTGTGGTTATAATTGAGATATTGTGGTTATAGTCATGGACACTGGGTAGTTATATAAAATGGACACTGTGGTTATAATTGAGATATTGTGTGGTTATTGTCATGGACACTGGGTAGTTATATAAAGTGGACACTGTGGTTATAATAAATAGACATTGTGTGTTTATATTACAAGGGGTCTGACAATTAAGTATTGAGACTGATTCCATAACAATGAAAATAATCAACAGCTGAAGATAAAACCTGTGTGATTCAAAGTTAGCCCCATGTGCATTGATACAGCAAGTGGGACGATCTAACAAACACTGGAACAACCTCTGTTATGGCCCTTAAAGTCGATGTTGCGGCCCTTTGGATGTCGTCAATATCGTTAAAGAAGCGTCCTTTCAATTGTAACTTTAATTTTAGGAATAGAAAATAATCAGAGAGAGACAAATCTGGGGATTAGAGTGGAAGGCTGAGAACACACACTTATTTTTAGGGCAAAATTTTTTATTTGGATGATGTCTCTTGGGTACTCAACCCGCTGATGTTTTTGGTCATCAGACAACGAATGTTGTACAAACCGGCAAGCAACTTTTTTCTTGCCAAAATCTTGCACTAAAATTTTATGAATGGACTCTATATTAACACCAGATTCATCTGCCATCATCCTCACAGTAAAACAATGATCTTCTTGTATCCATTCTCTGACTTTTTCAATGAGTTCATCATTACGAACAGAAATTTGACCTCCAGGTCTAGGTGTATTAGTAATCATTTCCACGCCACTTTTAAGTCACGAATACCACCTGAAAATTTGTGCACGAGATAAACAATAACCCCCAAAAACTTGGTGAATGTTGCTTCTTTAGATTCTACGCTTTGCTTCATAGATGACATTTTTGTCTTGGCCATAATAAAATCAGTCTCATTACTTGTCGGACCTTGTAAATAGACATGTGTGGTTATAATTAGAGCTGTACCGAATAGTGATTATTACTATTCGACCGTGTATAAAATAGATCTTAAAAAAATATTCATAATTTCAAATGTACACTGAACTTTTACTTCACAAAATGTAGTCCAGAATAGTAAACTTTTAAAAACATTTTGTGTTTTGCATCATTCAGTTAGATTTTGTTAACTAATAACTAGGAATGAAAATAGTCTAAGAATTATAAAAAGTAATTCGCAGTGGCTACAGCAGCCGCCATCTATGCAGAAACGGGTGTAACTTAACCACTATTCGAATTTGGCCCGACCACAAGTATTCGGCCCCTTAGCGATTACGAAGGGAATGTTCAGTACAGCACTAGTTATAATAATGGACATTGTGGGGTTATAAAAATGGGTCTTATGTGGTTTTAATAAACATTATATGGATATAATAAATGGACATTATATGGTTATAATAAGTAAATAGTCATGTGTGATTTTGTTTGCAGTACAAGCTAGTAGCTGTAGAAGGACATCATCGTATACCATGACCTGACCAGTTTTGCGTTTAGGTTGTCTTTAAACACATATTTAGTTTGTGTATGATGTTTGTACACCTTACACATGGTTTTAATCTTATGTGTGTAGTTGGAGCCGCTGTCTGTGTGTCTGGGCAGAATGCAGATCCTACACTCAAGAACTGCACCATACGAGACTGTGAGAATGTAGGCCTGTATGTTACAGATAAAGCAGAGGTCAGTTGTTTACACTTGTTGCTCCCACTAACATTATTGTTGCTCCCACTAACATCATTATTGCTGCCACTAACATCATTGTTGCTCCCACTAACATCATTGTTGTTCCCACTAACATCATTGTTGCTCCCACTAACATCCTTGTTGCTCCCACTAACATCCTTGTTGCTCCCACTAACATCATTGTTGCTCCCACTAACATCATTGTTGCTCCCACCAGCATCATTGTTGCTCCCACCAACATCATTGTTGCTCCCAGGTGTGTCCTTGTTGCTCCCACTAACATCCTTGTTGCTCACACTAACATCATTGTTGCTCCCACTAACATCATTGTTGCTCCCACTAACATCATTCTTGCTCCCACTAACATCATTGTTGCTCCCACTAACATCATTGTTGCTCCCACCAACATCATTGTTGTTCCCACCAACATCATTGTTGCTCCCACTAACATCCTTGTTGCTCCCACTAAAATCCTTGTTGCTCCCACTAACATCCTTGTTGCTCCCACTAACATCATTGTTGCTCCCACTAACATCCTTGTTGCTCCCACTAACATCCTTGTTGCTCCCACTAACATCCTTGTTGCTCCCACTAATATTATTGTTGCTCCCACTAACATCCTTGTTGCTCCCACTAACATCATTGTTGCTCCCACTAACATCCTTGTTGCTCCCACTAACATCCTTGTTGCTCCCACTAACATTATTGTTGCTCCCACTAACATCATTGTTGCTCCCACTAACATCATTGTTGCTCCCACTAACATCATTGTTGCTCACACTAACATCCTTGTTGTTCCCAGGTGTGTCCTTGTTGCTCCCACTAACGCCCTTGTTGCTTCCACTAGCATACTTTTTCTTACCACTTGTGTCCTTGTTGCTCCACTAGCGTTCTTGTTGATCCCACTAATGTCCTTGTTGCTCCGATTAGCGTCCTTGTTGCTCCAACTAGTTTTCTTGTTTCTCTGTTTTACTTGTTGCTCCCACTAGTGTTCTTGTTGCTTCCACTAGCATCTTTGTTTCTCACTATAGTCCTTATTGTTCCCTCTAGTGTCGTGGTTGCGCCCACTAGTGTCTTGGTTGCGCCCACTAGTGTTCTTGTTACTCCTATTAATGACCTTGTTGCTCCCATTAATGTCCTTGTTGCTCCCATTAGCCTCCTTGTTGCTCCCACTAGTATCCTTGTTTCTCTTTCATACTTGTTGCTCCCACTAGCATCCTTGTTTCTCTTTCATACTTGTTGCTCTCACTTGTTGAGTTGATTAAAGATCTGACATCACACTACTCATGGTAATCCAATAAGCTCTTCATCCCCATCTTCAGCAGCCAGCACAGAGTTCCAATACCAATGATGCCAGTAGCATTCTGATTATATGTCTGTCTTGCCTTTTCTCTGAGTATAGAGTATCGGCCAGAACCCCTCATCACTCCCTGTACCAATCTGACCTTTTGCTCCTCCCAATTGTACATACTCTCACTCAAGGCCATAACCACGTCTGCCTTATCCTCCAAGTTGTGCAGAGCCAGCCAGTCTGTTCATTTGTTCATTTCCCAACACACCGGCATGACCAGGAGAAAAGATCCAGACTGTGCTCTTCACTCGTGACCTCCGCAGTACAGCGTGCCACTCTGCACAAAGCATGGCTTTCTTCACTTTCCTCAGTACTTTCTGAGTCAGTTACAATCATGATGTGTGTATGTGTTTGTTTGTTTGTTGTTTTCTAACCAGCGGAAAGCTGCAGAGACCGCCTTCACCTCCCCCTCCATTCTTAAACTGGATATTGTATCATATGCTAGGCCCTCCTGCACCAAACATCGACTATTAACTTTTGCTAAGAAACCTCAAGCACTTCTTTTGCCTCTTGACACTGAATAGTTAGTATAAATAATCATATCCTCTGAGCGAGCATTATCTTGAATTAATTGCTGAATTTCCACCTCTGTGGCACCTGCTGACCACTGCTTGCACTCCTGGCTCAATGTAATTATAATTTCACAAATCTGACTGTTCCGCTGACCCACTCCTCTCCTCATCTAATGTTCTCCCGGATGCAAACCTGTCTGATTGTGTCTTCTGCCTGAGCCATCGATGACTTCTCTCTTATTAGCCGCTGACCCTTAACTGCATCCAGAGCTTTGTGCAGCGGGTGATCTATGTCTGCCACTACTCTGAGATATGCCTTCGTCTACAGCACCTTGAGCTTACCTGCAACAGTCGGTAAACCAAGGATGTATCTCGTACACACCACTGGGGTGTGACCCACATAGCTGAGTTCTGTATGCACTCTAGTTTAACCATCTGACCATCTAAAACAGTAAGCAGTACTAGTCCATATTCAATCACTGAAACACTCAGGTGCTGATATAGTATGAAAGGCTTTCTCTGTCCTTTGTAGCCATAGTCTTAAGTGCATTGAGTCTTTTTTGGCATCATCTTGTCACAACCATCTCCACATAGTCTTTGAAGGATAGGCTGCTGTCAGATTTGATTCCCAAATACTTCACTTTGCTTTTTCTGTTTATGTTTCTACCATCTATCATGAGACCTGGGACATCAGCTCTAACAATCCTGTTGTCTAGAGAATGTCACAAAACAGATGCCTTTTCTGGGTGGATGACAGCTCTCCTTTCTGTACACCAGTTAATCTTTTTTGTCTACTGTCACCTGTAGCTCCTGGGCTGTCTGTTCCCTCTCTCCCCCTGCCTGTATGCAAATACATCATCTACAGATGTCAGTATCCTTCCAACTCCTGGGGCTTCTAGGCTTGCAGTACTGCTCGTATACACGTTAAAGAGCACAGTTAAGATGGTAGATCCCTGTAGCAGTCCTGTGGCTATAATGCGTGGTTCAGAGGTCCATGAACCCAGACAGAGAGCAATTCAAAGAGAATACAGGACAACTGCAACCCAGTTCACCAACCATTGACTGACCTTTCTCCATCAGTGAGGTCATCAAAATGTCAATATCCATGTGTCTCTTGTTAACATCCTTGTGTCTGTCACTGTTATCCTCATGTCTGTCACTGTTATCCTTGTGTCTCTTAAGAATATCCTTGTTTCTCTCAGTGATATTCTTTTTTTCACTCAGTGTTATCCTTGTGTCTGTCATTGTTATCTGTGTCATTGATATCCTTGTGTCTGTCAGTGTTATCCTTGTGTCTCTCAGTGATATCCTAGTTTCTCTCAGTGATACCCTTTGGTCTCTGTGTTATCTTTACATACTTATATACACACACATACCCTCTTATAAACACGTACAGATGAAACTGGATGTTCCTGTCCCCACATATTGGCTGTGAACTTGTCTATTTGCAGGGCGTCTATGAACATAATGAAATCAGTGGCAATGCCTTGGCAGGTATCTGGGTGAAGAATGGAGCCAACCCCATCATGCGAAACAATCACATCCATCATGGCCGCGATGTTGGTGTGTTTACTTTTGATAATGGTCTGGTGAGTATTGGCGCTGCTGTTGTGTTGACAGGCTTCAATAACTTCCACTTGCTTCTTGTTCAGCACCATCTCACACTATCTCACACCATATAATGCCATCTCACATCATATCGCACCAATCATCTGACACCATCTCGCACCATTCATCTGACACTATCTCGTACCATCTCACACCATCTTGCACCAATCATTTCACACTATCTCGCACCAGTCATCTCACACCATCTTGCACTAATCATCTCACACCATCTCGCACCAGTCATCTCACACCATCTTGCACCAATCATATCACACCATCTCGCACCAGTCATCTCACACCATCTTGCACCAATCATATCACACCATCTCGCACCAGTCATCTCACACCATATCACACCAGTCATCTCACACTATCTCACACCAATCATCTCACACTATCTCACAACATATCACACCCTATCACACTATCTTACACCATCTCACACTATCTCACACCAAATCACACCCTATCACACTATCTTACACCATCTCACACCATATAATGCCATCTCACACCATCTCGCACCATTCATCTGACACTATCTCGTACCATCTCACACTATCTCACACCAATCATCTCACACCATATTACACCATCTCGCACCAATCATGTCACACTATCTCACACCAATCATCTCACACTACCTCACACCATATTACACCATCTCGCACCAATCATGTCACACTATCTCACACCAATCATCTCACACTACCTCACACCATATTACACCATCTCGCACCAATCATGTCACACTATCTCACACCAATCATCTCACACTACCTCACACCATATTACACCATCTCTCACCAATCATGTCACACTATCTCACACCAATCATATTACACCATCTCGCACCAATCATGTCACACTATCTCACACCAATCATCTCACACTATCTCACACCATATTACACCATCTCGCACCAATCATGTCACACTATCTCACACCATATCACACCCTATCACACTGTCTTACACCATCTCACACTACCTCACACCATACTAAATTATCTCACACCATCTCACACTATATTACACCATCTCACACCATATTACACTATCTCACACCATCTCACACTGTCTCACACCTTATTACACCATATCACACCATCTCTTGGTGATGGTGAATTGATGTAGGACAAGCTAGTTGTTGTGAGGGTCCTTCAGGAGTGAGTAACAGTGTGGAGGCACAAACAGATCATTACAATCTGAAAAGAATAGTGCTGCGAGGAGTTACCAGGGGATCTGGCAGTCTAGCCGAGGTTCAACTCTCAAGGGAAAGACGAGACAGATATACAGACAGTTACTGGTGCCATCGGAATTGGAATTCTTCACTTGCTACTTAAGATAGGGATAGAGCACTTATGGAAGTGTCCCGAGTGCTGTGATGTTGATTCTTAGTTCAACATAATACATCAGTCATGCCCTATTCTGGTATCATTCATACTTCGGCCATGCCCTGTGCTGGTATTACTCATACATACCATGCTGTGTTCACATATCAGTCATACATCAGTAATGCCCTGTTCTGGTATCAATCATACACCTGTTCTGATTTCAATCATACACCTGTTATACCCTGTTGGGGTATCAATCATCTATCAGTGATGCCCTGTTCTGGTATCAGTCATACCCTGTTCTGGTATCAATCATCTATCAATGATGCCCTGTTCTGGTATCAGTCCATACCCTGTTCTGATATTAATCATACACCAGTTTTACCATGTTCTGGTATAAATCATCCATCAGTGATTCCCTGTTCTGGTATCAGTCACACATCAGTCATACCCTGTTCTTATATAAATCATACATCAGTCATATCTTGTTTTTATACCAATCATACACCCAGTCATACCCTGTTCTGGTATCAATAATACACCAGTCATACCCTGCTCTGGTATCAGTCATTCATCATTCATACATCATTCATACCCTGTTCTGATATCAATCATACATCAGTCATCCCCTGTTATGAAATCAGTCATACATCAGTCATACCCTGTTCTGATATCAGTTGTACATCCGTCATACCCTGTTCTGATATCAATCATACATCAGTCATACCCTGTTCTGATATCAATCATCCATCAATGATGCCCTGTTCTTGCATCAAGCATCCATAAGTGATGCCCTGTTCTGGTATCAGTCATACATCAGTCATACCCTGTTCTGGTATCAGTCATATATCAGTCATACCCTTTTCTGATGTCATACCCTGTTCTTTTGTCAATCATACATCAGATATTTCATGCAAAGATAAAATGTCTCATCAAGTAGTTACATAAAGTGGCATGTTGTGATTATCAGAGGACTGACTGGACCATGGCGTGTTAGGTGGCCCTGATAGGGAATTAGTGGAATTGAAGACAGGCATTTATGTCTGAGGCAGGGCAAGTCTTGTAGAGCACTCACAGATCTCCGTCACAGACATCAGTCAGCAGCTACTGTGTTCATAATCAGTGATATTTTCTTTCATGAACCATAGACATAAACTTTCTCTGGAAGACTACTGCCTCATGTCTGTTGTTATTAATTGTATCATCACTAGGGTTTATGAACCATAGACATAAACTCCCTCTGGTAGACAGTTTGCTGTTCGCATGTCTGTTGTTTTATTTGTATCATCACTAGGGTTTATGAACCATAGACATAAACTCTCCCTGGTAGACTGTGTGTTGACACTTATCTGTTGTTTTTATTTGTCTCATTTCTGTTGTTGCTTCGTGTCTCATGTCTGTTATTATTTCTCTCATGATTGTTGTTCTTATGTGTCTCGTGAGTGTTTCATGACTTTTATTATTATTTGTCTTTTGTCTAATGATTTTTTTGTGGGGGGGGGGGGGGGGGGGGTCAAGTCTTTTTTGCTTTTTTGTCTCATGTCTGTTATTATTATGTGTCTCATCACCAGGGCTACTTTGACAACTGTGATATCCATGACAACCGAATTGCAGGTTTTGAGGTGAAGGCTGGTGCCAACCCAACAGTGATTCATTGTGTGGTCCACCATGGGCAGACTGGAGGCATCTATGTCCATGAGAGTGGCAGGGGCCAGTTCATTGAGAACAAAATCCATTCAAATAATTTTGCTGGTGTGTGGATAACATCAAACAGTGATCCAACTATAAGGTGAGACACCCAACAGTGATCCCACAATCAGGTTAGACATTCAACAGTAACACACCCCCCCCCCTCCCCCACCCCACCCTCTCCCTTCCTCCAGGTGAGACATAAACAAAAATGACCCTACTCTCATGTGAGACATCCAACACTGAACCCACACTCGGGTGAGACATCCAACAGTGTCACCACTTTTAGGTGAGATATCCTACAGTGACCGCAGTTTTAGGGGAGAAATACAGCCTTGTTGATACTGCCCTCACAGGAGAGACACACAACAATGATCCCACACACAGGAGTTTGTGGCACACAGTCTTATCTCTGCTGTTTGTGACAGTCTCATCTCTACTGTTTGTGTCACATACTTTTTTTCTGCTGTTTGCAGCACAGTCTTATCTTTGCTGTTTATGGCATACAGACTTATCTCTGCTGATTGTGGCATACAGACTTATCACTTCTGTTTGTGGCACACAATCTTATCACTTCTGTTTGTGGCACTCAATCTTATCACTTCTGTTTGTGGCACACAATCTTATCACTTCTGTTTGTGGCACACAATCTTATCACTTTTGTTTGTGGCACACAGTCTTATCACTTTTGTTTGTGGCACACAATCTTATCACTTTTGTTAATGGCACACAATCTTATCACTTTTGTTTGAGGCACACAATCTTATCACTTCTGTTTGTGGCACTCAATCTTATCACTTCTGTTTGTGGCACACAAACTTATCACTTCTGTTTGAGGCACATAATCTTATCACTTCTGTTTGTGGCACATAATCTTATCACTTCTGTTTGTGGCACATAATCTTATCACTTTTGTTTGTTGCACACAATCTTATCACTTCTGTTTGTGGCACTCAATCTTATCACTTTTGTTTGTGGCACACAATCTTATCACTTTTGTTTGTGACACACAATCTTATCACTTCTGTTTGTGGCACTCAATCTTATCACTTCTGTTTGTGGCACACAATCTTATCACTTCTGTTTGTGGCACATAATCTTATCACTTCTGTTTGCGGTGCACAATCTTATCACTTCTGTTTGTGGCACACAGTCTTATCACTTCTGTTTGTGCCACAAAATCTTATCATTTCTTTTTGTGGCGCACAGTCTTATCACTTCTTTTTTGTGGCGCACAGTCTTATCACTTCTGTTTGTGGCGCACAGTCTTATCACTTCTATCTGTGTCATACAATCTTGCCTCTTCTGTCTGTGGCACACAATCTTATCACTTTTGTTTGTGGCACACAATTTCATCACTTTTGTTTGTGGCACACAATCTTATCACTTTTGTTAATGGCACATAATCTTATTACTTTTGTTTGTGGCACACAATCTTATCACTTTTGTTTGTGGCACTCAATCTTATCACTTCTGTTTGTGGCACACAATCTTATATCTGCTGTTTGTGGTACACAGTGTCTTAGCTGAGTTACTGCTGTTTCTTTGTTATGTTACTGTCTCTTGGCTAAGTCACAGTAATGTTGTCTTTGTTATAGTCTTTTAGCTGAGTTACTGCTTTGTTTTCTTTGTTACAGTCTCCTAGCTGCGTTACTGCTGCGTTTTCTTTATTATAGTCACTTAGCTGAGTTACTGCTGTGTTTTCTTTGTTAGTCTCCGGAGTTACTGTTTTTTTTTTTTTTTAAATTTTCCTAGCTTTTTTACTTCTTCATTTTTTTTGTTAGTCTACTAGCTGAGTTACTGTTATATTTTTTGGCGGGTGGGGCTGCATGGTCTCGGTGTCTATCATCTGCCTCCAGTGCTGGAGGTCTCGGGTTCAAACCTCATTGAAGGCTGGGATTTTTTTTCACCTAGACTTCTAGTTATTCCCCTGGTCTCTGGGTAGAAAGATCAGATGCTCGTGTGTTTTGTTGCGCATGTAAAAAAAAATCCCTTGGCAGTTGAAAATAGAAAAGAGTAGCCTAATGGCGCTGCCCTGAAAAAAATTTTTTAGTTACAAATCTACTCAAAGTATTTCACTTCCTCGCTGGTGCAATGGAGCTCATGCACTTCGCTGAGATTCTTTGGACTCCGGCTTAAGTTAAAAGTAGAACGGAGCATTTATCGGTTACAACCCTTGTGCCATGATGTTGATCCATCGTCCAAACCTAAACCTATATTATTACGATTTTCATGCTGAGTTACTGCTGTGTTTTTGTGTGTTACAGTCTCCTAGCTGAGTTACTGCTGTTTTCTATAATGTGTTACAGTCTCTTTGCTAAGTTACTGCTGTGTTTTCTTTGTTAGTCTCATGAGTTACTATTCTGTTTCTTTTGTTAATCTCCTGAGTCACTATTGTGTTTTCATTGTTACAGTATCCTAGCTGAGTTACTGCTGTGTTTTCTTTAATGTGTTGCAGTATCCTAGCTAAATTACTGCCTGGTTTTCTTTAATGTATTTCAGTATCCTAGCTAAGTTACTGCTGTGTTTTCTTTAATGTATTTCAGTATCCTAGCTAAGTTACTGCTGTGTTTTCTTTAATGTATTTCAGTATCCTAGCTAAGTTACTGCTGTGTTTTCTTTAATGTGTTACAGTATCCTAGCTGAGTTACTGCTGTGTTTTCTTTAATGTATTTCAGTATCCTAGCTAAGTTACTGCTGTGTTTTCTTTAATGTGTTGCAGTATCCTAGCTAAGTTACAGCTGTGTTTTCTTTAATGTGTTGCAGTATCCTAGCTAAGTTACAGCTGTGTTTTCTTTAATGTGTTACAGTATCCTAGCTGAGTTACTGCTGTGTTTTCTTTAATGTGTTACAGTATCCTAGCTAAGTTACTGCTGTGTTTTCTTTAATGTGTTACAGTATCCTAGCTGAGTTACTGCTGTGTTTTCTTTAATGTGTTACAGTATCCTAGCTGAGTTACTGCTGTGTTTTCTTTAATGTGTTACAGTATCCTAGTAAGTTACTGCCTTGTTTTCTTTAATGTGTTACATTCTCCAAGCTGAGTTACTGCTGTGTTTTCTTTAATGTGTTGCAGTATCCTAGCTAAGTTACTGCTGTGTTTTCTTTAATGTGTTGCAGTATCCTAGCTAAGTTACTACTGTGTTTTCTTTAATGTGTTACATTCTCCAAGCTGAGTTACTGCTGTGTTTTCTTTAATGTGTTGCAGTATCCTAGCTAAGTTACTGCTGTGTTTTCTTTAATGTGTTACATTCTCCAAGTTGAGTTACTGCTGTGTTTTCTTTAATGTGTTGCAGTATCCTAGCTGAGTTACTGCTGTGTTTTCCTTATGGTATTAAAATCTCCTAGTTAAGTTGCTGATGTGTTTTTAGTGCTGCACTAAATATTCACTTTGGGGCCGAATAGTGGACCTAATAACTATTTGGTATTCGGCCGAATACTTGCAGTCAGCCCGAATTTGAATAGTGGTTACCTTACACCCGTTTCTGCATACACTGATAGTTGCTGTTGCCTAAGTCGCTTTGATGCATTAACAAAGCTGTCAGTGACAATTTACAAGTTTAGATAATTGTTATAAAAATTACGGATAATTTCATTCCTAGATATTAGTTACCACAGACTGACTGACTGAAGGATGCAAAACAAAAAATGTTATTAAATGTTTACTATTCTGTACTACATTTTGTGGAGTAAAATTTCAGTGTACATTTGACATTATGAATTTTTTTTTTTTTCAGATTTATTTTATACACTATACAATATTTGAATAGTGGAAGAATGAATATTGGGAAGACAGAAGTAATGGTGGTATCAAAGAAAAGAATTATTCCTAAATGTATAATAAAAGTCAGTTTGGTTATTTTGGGACAATTACAGAAATTTAAATATCTGGGCACATGGATAACATCAAATGGAAGATGCATTATTGAAAGAAGAAACAGAATAGGACAGGCAAAAACAGCATTTTATAAAATGAAAAACATATAATGCAATATATCTTTGTCGTTGAAGGTTAGAAAAAGAATTTCTTGCTTGCTACATACATCCAGTTTTAACATATGGCTGTGTCCTGGACAATCGGTAAGCAGGCAAAACCATTTCCTGGACAATCGGTAAGCAGGCAAAACCATTTCTTGAGGCCTCAAAGATGTGGTTTTACAGAACAGTGCTTAAAATACCTTGGACAGCCACACACAAAAAAACCAAGAGGTTTTAAAAGAGGCAGGAACCCGAAGACAACTAATCACAGACATCAGAAGGAGACAGTCATCATTTTTCGGCCATGTTATGAGAAGAGAGAAAATGGAACATGTGGTGACCACTGGAAAGATCTGTGGAAGGAGGGATAGAGGAAGATAACGAGAGAAGATTCTTGACAGTCTTTTTGCGTGGCATGGAGGTGTGTCAGCACACAAGCTAATACATGCTGCAGGAGATCGCAGATTGTGCCGAGGCATAATCGCCCACGACAGTCGGCAAGGCACCTGATGATGATAATGCACATTCGTATTCGGCTGAATAGTTGGTCCTGCTATTCGTATTCAGCCGAATAGTGAAAATCACTATTGGGTACAGCCCTAGGATTTATACATTATAGTGTATTCTAGTTATTAATGGTGATTTCCTGTATAGTAATTGCTCTTATTGAAGGGATGTGTCTCTTGCAGAAAAAATGAAATCTACAATGGCCAGCAGGGTGGTGTGTATATATTTGGTGATGGTAGAGGATTGATAGAACACAATAATATTTATGGTGAGTTGTTCTTGTCTTCATCCTGTCTGTACTTTATTTCAGACTTGTCTGTTCAACAGATTCTGCCTGTCTTTCATCAGGTCTGTCTGTACTTTGTTCCAGACATAAGATAGATACAACAGTACACACAGGTGTGAACACACACACACATGTATGGATACATACACACACACCTGTTATACTATACAATCGAGTCTGGATAAGTAGAAGTGGCAGGGACCACACACAGCTGAGAATGTACACTAAAACCAAGCAGTAGCATTGGGTGAAACAATGATACCAGTTAGGAAACACCATAATTCAACAAATAAATAGCAATACAGTGTCAGAAATGCTGAAATATTTAATTATTTTAGAAAGTATAACATTAAAACCATATACAAATGCAAACATTAATTAAAGAAAAATTCTGATTTCATTTTGCTTTTTGGACTGTGAAAAATAATATGCAGTGGTGTTTTTTTTTAAATGATCGAACCAACCAGCACTACATTTCCAGTCTGCCGGACCTCCAAGATGTGCAAACTCCTCTGCTTTTGCCATAATTAATGACCCATTCATGGGTACATTTGCCGATCTGAGCTCAGTGAACCATTTTAAAAGGGCAGTATCAACAAAATCGTATGTTGCTTTTCTAGCGCGCTGTCACTGTTGATTTTACACTCAAAAAACAATGTTTTGTAGCGTTCCTTATGCTTTAAAATGCCAAAAAGCGTCAAACTTGGAATACCATATTTCCTAGCTATGTGCATTTTCTTCTTCCCACTATGTTAATCTCTTCCAACAGTTTAATCTTTATTTTTTAAGTTCAAGTAGTCAGCTTTTGACCGCCAGCCGCCATTGAAAATACTGTATGAAGCGAGATATCGTAGCCGCGAGATTTCACGTTATTTCCTGGTCTGATTAAAGAAAAATGTTTGATGAAATGAATGTTATTTTCGTAGTGATAATGAACAGTTTGATTTAAACAGGGATGTGTATATAGTCAGATTTATTTAAAGATTTGATTTATCTAAATATTCGAATAAACCGAATTTGACTTATCAGGATTTTAAATACTAAGATAAAGAAGGAAAATTGCTGGCACTGAGCTGGTTATGTTGACTTAAGCGAAATTAGACTAATCCTAGTTTGACTCAAGTGGACTCGACTGTATCTGTGATATATGATAACTTTATTATCATGTTTCTCTATTAAATATCTGTGACAGACAATAACTTTGTTATCATATTTCTCTGTCATATATCCTAAACACATGATAACTTTGTCATTATGTTGTCAATGACTTCCTTGGGTCACTTGTGTTATGACTTTCTTGTGTCACTTATTTTATGACTTTCTTGTGTCACTTATGTGATTACTTTCTTGTGTCACTTGTGTAATGACTTTCTTGTGTCACTTGTGTAATGACTTTCTTGTGTCACTTGTGTAATGACTTTCTTGTGTCACTTGTGTAATGACTTTCTTGCATCACTTGTGTAATGACTTTCTTGTGTTACTTGTGTAATGACTTTCTTGTGTTACTTGTGTAATGACTTTCTTATGTCACTTGTGTAATGACTTTCTTGTGTCACTTGTGTAATGACTTTCTTGTGTCACTTGTGTAATGACTTTCTTGCGTCACTTGTGTAATGACTTTCTTGTGTCACTTGTGTAATGACTTTCTTGTGTCACTTGTGTAATGACTTTCTTGTGTCACTTGTGTAATGACTTTCTTGTGTCACTTATGTAATGACTTTCTTATGTCACTTGTGTAATGACTTTCTTGTGTCACTTGTGTAATGACTTTGTTTTGTCACTTGTGTAATGACTTTCTTGTGTCACTTGTGTAATGACTTTCTTGTGTCACTTGTGTAATAACTTTCTTGTGTCACTTGTGTAATAACTTTCTTGTGTCACTTGTGTAATGACTTTCTTGTGTCACTTGTGTAATGACTTTCTTGTGTCACTTATGTAATGACTTTCTTGTGTCACTTGTGTAATGACTTTCTTGTGTCACTTGTGTAATAACTTTCTTGTGTCACTTGTATAATGACTTTGTTTTGTTACTTATGTGATGACTTTCTTGTGTCACTTGTGTAATGACTTTCTTGTGTCACTTGTGTAATGACTTTCTTGTGTCGCTTGTGTAATGACTTTCTTGTGTCACTTGTGTAATGAATTTGTTTTGTTACTTATATTATGACTTCTTTGTATTGTATTACTTGTATCTCCTGCAGGAAATGCCTTAGCTGGTATTCAAATCCGGACAAACAGCAACCCTATAGTCAGACACAACAAGATTCACCATGGTCAGCACGGAGGCATCTATGTGGTAAGGCACATCTCGCAGCTGCATATTCTCAAGATTGTGTGTCATTCTTTTAGTGCCATATAAGATGCATTCTGACAGCGCTTGTCTAAAAAGTAGGAAGTGCCGTCTGATCATGGTTCTTCGAACATATGTGCCACAAGATGGCCTTTGCTAAATTTATGTGTAGCTTATACTGGGAACAAACATAACAGTTAAACCCCACAACATCTAACTCACCACAGATAGAGATAAGAGGAGTGTTGAAGGGATGTGAGTTAGACATCTACTCACCACAGATGGAGATAACAAGAGGAGTGTCGGAGGAATGTGAGTTAGACCTCTACTTACTACAGATAGAGATAACAAGAGGAGTGTTGAAGGGATGTGAGTTAGACATCTACTCACCACAGATAGAGATAACAAGAGGAGTGTTGAAGGGATGTCAGTTAGACATCTGCTCACCACAGATAGAGATAACAAGAGAAGTGTCGGAGGGATGTGAGTTAGACATCTACTCACCACAGATAGAGATAACAAGAGGAGTGTCGGAGGTATGTGAGTTAGACATCTACTCACCACAGATAGAGATAACAAGAGGAGTGTCGGAGGGATGTGAGACATCTACTCACCACAGATATAACAAGAGGAGTGTTGAAGGGATGTGAGTTAGACATCTACTCACCACTGATAGAGATAACAAGAGGAGTGTCAGAGGGATGCGAGTTATCTCTAAGCCTTTTCATCTTGTTTATAGAAAACATGTAGGAGAATGGCCTGAACTCAATAACAAAAGAGGAATAATAAACAATCTGAGAAATGCTGATGACACAGTGTAACTGGCAGAAAGTGAGCTGAACTTACAGGACCTAGTGGAGCAAGTCAGCATGTGCAGAGTGTTGCATAGCGATCTGTAGGGTGGGTGTATCACTTCCTAACCAAGTGTCTAAAGGTGACTGATTATGCCTCCTTATATATGAAAGTCCCTCCCCCCTCCCCCAAGCCAACCTCCTGGTGACTAATGAAGTTCCCTACCTGAAAGTACAAGGTTAAGATAGTTCTCATAGTCCTATCATAAAACAAAACACTGACAACAATCCGCAGCCAACCACATCAACAAAACTGGAAGAGTCATGTCTTGAATCGTGCATCAGTCTATTTGTTAGGACGCAACACAGTATGACAATGAGCATGAACTGGTGATATAGGACAACTGTCCATCTAATGCTCCACCTATACACTATGATATGCTTCCAAGGCAGGCAGTGTTACATGAAAGGAAACACCTAGCCTCGACTCGGCGTGAGTCCACAACATACGCCTTGGGCCTCCTGGCCCACTCTTATGGTCATCGGTAGCCCTAACGAACACTTGAGTTATGTGCCCACACTTTGGGTCACCAGTAACCTCTACATGATAACTGATTAGAGACTCTGCCCCAGGCACACCAAGTCTCTTGACACAGTCGAATCAGAATCCTGACGAGGTACGACACAATCACGTCCGTGCAATTCCGCCACAACTCACCGCCCGACTTCTGTTGATCATAGTGGCAAATAACATGTTGGGCTATCAACGCCTTGTCTCCACAAAATTCCCACAACGGGAGCATTTAGACTCCTCATACACCAAATTCTAATGCACAAGCTTAACTTTCACTGAACTAAAATGATACACAAAATTACTGCTAAAAATTCACAGACATCTGAACATGCGCTTGCCTAATCGGACTAGCTGAGAGGCACTAAACTGAACACCCTCAACCAACCCTTATCTCAGATATCCAGACCTCGCTAAGCGCGAGCAAACCACTGCTAGTCGTGATTCTCCAGAAATACCTCTTCCACAGCTCCATGCACCTTGAGAACCTTTGCACTCGTCTCTCATCTCAAGCCTTATGGATCCCTTTTTGAACACGTCTCTGTTACCATCATCATCCTGTGCCTTACGACTGGCGTAGGTGATCACGCCTCTGTTACCATCATCATGATTATGTATATTTATGAGTGTGTTTATGGGTTACTGTATAAGTTGTGTGTGTTTCTGAATACATTTCTGTCTGCATGTCTGTATGTGTGGCTGCGTGTATGTGTGTGTGTGTATTTATGTGTCTTTGCCTGCGTGTGTGTGGCTGTGTGTGTGTCTTTGTGTGTATCTATATGAAAATTTGTACGTGTTTGTCTGTGTGTGTCTCTGTACATGCTTGTGTCTGTGTATATCTGAGTGTCTGTCTGTGTGTGGATGTGTGTGTGTCTTTTAGTGTATGTATATGTGTCTGTGTGTGTGACTGCTTGTATGTTTATGTGTGTGACTGCTTGTGTGTCTTTGAGTGTGTGTATTTGAGTGTGTATGCGTGTGTGTCAGTGAGTGTGTGTCTGTCTCTGTTTATACATATGTGTGTGTGGTGTGTGCATGTGTAATATGTATGTATGTGTAATATGTATGTATGTGGATCTGTATTTATACATAAATGCGAGTATATAATGTGAGTGAGTGGGCTTGCGTGTGTGAGTGTGCACACACATTTCATCACCCATGTTTGTTTTTTTGCTTGATATTCATAATATGCGTATTATTATATGAACATAACATGCTTTATTGATCAAATACAACTACTGTGTGAAAGACGGATGTTTTGAAGGGCCGAGTGTAAGGCGCGCCTGCATGCCGAATTTGTCACCATTTGAAAATAAAGTTAGTTCGTTCATTTCAAGTGTAGGCAATATATCAGGCATGGTGAAACTGATGTGATATTGATGATAGAATGCACAGTTGAGGTGTTGAAACAAACAAGCATGGTGAAACTGATGTGATATTGATGATAGAAGGCACAGTTGAGGTGGTGAAATAAACAAGCATGGTGAAACTGATATGATATTGATGATAGAATGCACAGTTGAGGTGGTGAAACAAACAAGCAGTGTGAAATTGATGTGATATTGATGTTAGAATGCACAGTTGAGGTGGTGAAACAAACAAGCATGGTGAAGAGACATCTGTGTTTGTCTTTCAGCATGAGAAAGGCAAAGGTTTGATAGAAGAGAATGAGGTCTACTCCAACACACTGGCAGGTGTCTGGATCACCACTGGAAGTACACCAGTTCTTAGGAGGAACAGAATTCACAGTGGCAAACAGGTTTGTGGCTGTCTGCTCCAGCTTTATGTGTGTCCTGTTGAGTTTCTATATTCTATCCCTGTCTGTCCGCTTGAATTTGTGTATTCCATTGTTCCGTGTCCTCTTGAGTTTTTTTATATTATATTGTATCCTCTTCATTTTGTTTATTCCATTGTTCTGTGTCTGCTTGAGAACTTCTATATTTCATAGTGTGTCCTCTTGCATTTGTATATTCCATCAGTGTATGCCCATCTGAGTTTGTATATTCCATCAATGTATGTTTAAATGAGTTTGTATATTCCATTGTTTTGTGTCCACATGAGTTTGTATATTCCATCAGTGTATGTCCATATGAGTTTGTAAATTCCATTGTTCTATGTCCGTATGAGTTTATATATTCCATTGATGTGTGTCCACTTGAATATGTATGTTCCATTGATGTGTGTCCACTTGAGTTTGTATGTTTATTTACTCCACTTGTTTGAAATGTCTACTCTGCCATCATTTTGCTCTAACCGTGTAGGTTACTCCTGTGAGTTTAGGACTGATCCTGGCTCTTTTGGCCAGACTGGTGCCGCAGAGCTACACTTTTGATCTTAGCTAAAAGGCCAAAAAGCGATTGTCTGCCATCAAAGGCTGGGTCTTCTTGTGTAGTCCAGGCTGTTTTTGCCTACCGACAGTGCTTTCATCTTCACTTTTGTGTCTGCCCTAATTTTCTCTATTATATGTGCCACTGTCTTCACTGTCATGCCTGCCATCTTCTTTTCTGTCATGTTGCAACCATCTTTTCTGTCATGCATATCAGTCATCAAAGACTTGGCTTTACTGACAAGTACTTTCATCTTCTCTGTCATGTCCGTCGATCATCAAAGACTTGGCTTACTAATGAGTGCTTCCATCTTCTCTGTCATGTATATCAGTCATCAAAGACTTGGCTTACTGACAAGTGCTTTCTTCTTCTGTCATGTCCATCAATCATCAAAGACTTAGCTAACTGATGAGTGCTTCCAACTTCTCTGTCATATCTGTCAATCATCAAAGACATATCTTATTGATGAAGACATAGCTTATTGATGAGTGCTTCCATCTTCTCTGTCATGTCTGTCAGTCATCAAAGACATATCTTATTGATGAGTGCTTCCATCTTCTCTGTCATGTCTGTCAGTCATCAAAGACACATCTTATTGATGAGTGCTTCCATCTTCTCTGTCATGTCTGTCAGTCATCAAAGACATATCTTATTGATGAAGACATAGCTTATTGATGAGTGCTTCCATCTTCTCTGTCATGTCTGTCAGTCATCAAAGACATATCTTATTGATGAATGCTTCAATCTTCTCTGTCATGTCTGTCAGTCATCAAAGACGTATCTTATTGATGAGTGCTTCCCTCTTCTCTGTCATGTCTGTCCATGATCAAAGACATATCTTATTAATGAAGACATATCTTATTGATGAGTGCTTCCATCTTCTCTGTCATGTCTGTCGGTCATCAAAGACATATCTTATTGATGAGTGCTTCAATCTTCTCTGTCATGTCTGTCAGTCATCAAAGACATATCTTATTGATGAATGCTTCCATCTTCTCTGTCATGTCTGTCGGTCATCAAAGACATATCTTATTGATGAAGACATAGCTTATTGATGAGTGCTTCCATCTTCTCTGTCATGTCTGTCAGTCATCAAAGACATATCTTATTGATGAGTGCTTCCATCTTCTCTGTCATGTCTGTCAGTCATCAAAGACATATCTTATTGATGAGTGCTTCCATCTTCTCTGTCATGTCTGTCAGTCATCAAAGATATATCTTATTGATGAATGCTTCCATCTTCTCTGTCGTGTCTGTCAGTCATCAACGACATATCTTATTGAAGAAGACATATCTAATTGATGAGTGCTTCAATCTTCTTTGACATATTTGTCAGTCATCAAAAACATAGCTTATTAATGAGTGCTTCCATCTTCTCTGTCATGTCTGTCAGTCATCAAAAACATAGCTTATTGATGGGTGCTTCCATCTTCTCTGTCATGTCTGTCAGTCATCAAAGACATAGCTTATTAATGAGTGCTTCCATCTTCTCTGTCATGTCTGTCATTCATCATAGACATAGCTTATTGATGAGTGCTTCCATCTTCTCTGTCATGTCCGTCAATCATTAAAGACATGGTTTACTTATGAGTGCTTCCATCTTCTCTGTCAGGTTGGTGTCTATTTCTATGATAATGGCCATGGAGTTTTGGAGGACAATGATATATTCAATCATCTCTACTCAGGTGTTCAGATTAGGTGAGTCTCCAAATGTGTCAGATCTATGTAAACAAAATATTGTATCACAGCAGTATAACATAATTGATGTCACTTTAACATTGTTGGTTATACTTCAACATAAATGGTGTCAGTATAACATGTAGTGGTATTTAGGCTTACAAACTGAATGTGTTCCTGACTGTGGTTCATATACTGAAGAGTTTGTGTTTGGAAACAGTTTCCCATGAAATCTTATGGAAAATCAGTTCATCTCACTTTCGCCTCAGTTTCAGTAATGCAGAGAAATACATTCAGAGTGAGAAGGAGCAATTGTAGGCAATAAATATACATTTTGTATACTATACAAAGGTTTATTTATCAAATCTTTAGTTTTACACAATACATGTGTATGCAATTTAAAAATCGCCTTGCATTAAGTTGTATAAAGAAAAAAAAAATATATATATATAAAAAATAAAAATGTTCTTAGCTGTTCTAACTAGCCCCAGTACTGCAAGATGTTGGTTTGTGTTACTTGCTATGATAAGTCTCCTTGTTGTTGTTGCTATCTCTGTTATCTGAAGACATTTGCTCTTCCTCCTCATCCATGACTTTTTCTGTTTAGTTCTTGCTCTTGTAGCTCTTCAGTGGTCATTCAGTGTAAAGCTTCTTTATGCCTGCTTTATCAACTTCCAAATTCATCGTCTTCCCCAGGAAGACAACTGTATCTGCAATGTCATATTTCACATTGAAGTTCTTTCACTGCAGCTCCTTGGACACAGTCAGGCCATTTTTTTTTGTTGTACACCACTGGATGTGTTTTATTTCAGCTAAATGACACCTTGTAACAGAAACATGCGCATATATGCAGTGCATCCTGGTTCCTAACTTCAATCTGGGTTTTTGTCTAGATGTCACAAATCATATGTAGAGCGATTAATAAGTTGATGTACTGCTTTAGTTAGTGTCACTATAACATTTGTTGTCACTCTAACATTGTTGCTGTCACTGTAGCATAGTCTATATCACTAAAACATAGTCGCTGTCAGTATAACTTAGTATCACTCTAACATTGTTGCTATCACTGTAGCATAGTTTATATCACTATAACATAGTTGCTGTCAGTATAACTTAGTATCACTCTAACATTGTTGCTGTCACTGTAGCATAGTCTATATCACTAAAACATAGTTGCTGTCAGTATAACTTAGTATCACTCTAACATTGTTGCTGTCACTGTAGCATAGTCTATATCACTAAAACATAGTCGCTGTCAGTATTACTTAGTATCACTCTAACATTGTTGCTATCACTGTAGCATAGTTTATATCACTATAACATAGTTGCTGTCAGTATAACTTAGTTAGTGTCACTCTAACATTGTTGCTGTAACTGTAGCATAGTTTATATCAATATAACATAGTTGCTGTCAGTATAACTTAGTTAGTGTCACTCTAACATTGTTGCTGTCACTGTAGCATAGTTTATGTCACTATAACATAGTTGCTGTCAGTATAACTTAGTTAGTGTCACTCTAGCATTGTTGCTGTCACTGTAGCATAGTTTATGTCACTATAACATAGTTGCTGTCAGTATAACTTAGTTATTGTCACTCTAACATTGTTTCTGTCACTGTAGCATAGTTTTTGTCACTATAACATAGTTGCTGTTGGTATAACAAAGTTAATGTCACTCTAACATTGTTGGTGTCACTATAGCTTAGTTGCTGTCAGTATAACAAAGTTAGTGTCACTCTGACATTGTTGCTGTCAGTATAACAAAGTTAGTGTCACTCTAACATTGTTGGTGTCACTGTAGCATAGTTGCTGTCGGAATAACAAAGTTAATGTCACTCTGACATTGTTGCTGTCACTATAGCGTAGTTTATGTCACTCTAACATTGTTGGTGTCACTATAGCATAGTTTATATAACTATAACATAATTGCTGTCAGTATAACTTAGTTAGTGTCACTCTAACATCAGTTCTGCTGTGTAAGAACTGATTCCGGCAATTCTGACTGGTTCCCGGTGGAAACAGGAGTGAAGCAAGGCTGTGTCCTATCGCCGATGCTTTTTGGTATAGCGATCGACTGGGTCATGCGCAAGTGCATAAATAACGCAAATTTAGGCATTACATGGGTTGACAAAATTCTGGAAGACCTAGACTTCGCCGACGACATAGCACTCCTGAGTTCAGAACACACAGACGCCCAAGAAAAAATCAATCAACTCCAGAATTTCTCAGAACAAATTGGACTCCAAATTAACACCGCAAAAACAAAAATTCTAGACCTTACCAACAGTTCAGTTGATATCACGCTGAACAACAACAGCCTTGAAAAAGTCAACAGTTTCACTTATCTAGGGAGCAAGATGTCATCTACAGGAGATACCGCACCAGAAATATCATTTAGAATAGCACTGGCATCTAGTGCCTTCAATAAACTGTGTAACATCTGGAAATCAAAGACACTTAGCAAACACACAAAACTCAAGATCTTCAATTCTTGTGTGATTCCAGTACTAACCTATGGATGCGAGAGCTGGAAATCAACGAAAACTCTAGACACAAAATTAGACAGTTTTGAAAATAAATGCCTTAGAAGAATACTAAATTTCAAATGGTCAGATTTCCGAACCAATACACAAATAAGGCAAGAATCCAGGCAAGAGTATGTGTCTAATTTTATACGAAAACGCCGCTGGAACTATGTCGGCCACGCCCTTAGAATGGATAAATCAAGACTTCCTTACCAAGCCCTCATTTGGACACCACAGGGGAAAAGATCTCGTGGAAGACCAAGGGAAACCCTACGTAGAACTATCATCAGGGAAGGCTCGCTCATGGGCCACTCAAACATCCAAGACCTACAACGGATTGCAACGGACCGCCGTGCATGGAGAGTCGCGACCTCTGCCCTATGTGCCGCACTCGACACAAGAGGAAAGACTGTGAGACTAACATTGTTGGTGTCACTATAGCATAGTTTATATCACTATAACATAATTGCTGTCAGTATAACTTAGTTAGTGTCACTCTAACATTGTTGGTGTCACTATAGCATAGTTTATATAACTATAACATAATTGCTGTCAGTATAACTTAGTTAGTGTCACTCTAACATTGTTGGTGTCACTATAGCATAGTTTATATCACTATAACATAGTTGCTGTCAGTAAAACATAGATATAGTTAGTGTCACTATAACATTGTTGTTGTCAGTATAATATAGTTAGTGTCACTATAACATTGTTGCTGTCAGTATAATATAGTTAGTGTCACTATAACGTTGTTGCTATCAGTATAATATATTTAGTGCCACTATAACATTGTTGCTATCAGTATAATAAAGTTAGTTCCACTATAACATAGTTAGTGTCACTATAACATTGTTGCTGTCAGTATAATATAGTTAGTGTCACTATAACATTGTTGTTGTCAGTATAATATATTTAGTTCCACTATAACATTGTTGCTATCAGTATAATATAGTTAGTTCCACTATAACATAGTTAGTGTCACTATAATATTGTTGCTGTCAGTATAATATAGTTAGTGCCACTATAATATAGTTGGTGTCACCATAAAATAGTGTCACAAAACATAGTGTCACTATAACATTGTTGCTGTCAGTATAATATAGTTAATGTCACTATAACATTGTTGCTATCAGTATAACATAGTTAGTGCCACTATAACATTGTTGCTGTCAGTATAATATAGTTAGTGCCACTATAACATTGTTGCTGTCAGTATAATAAAGTTAGTGTCACTATAACATTGTTGTTGTCAGTATAATATAGTTAGTTCCACTATAACATTGTTGCTGTCAGTATAATATAGTTAGTGCCACTATAACATTGTTGCTGTCAGTATAATATAGTTATTGCCACTATAACATTGTTGCTGTCAGTATAATATAGTTAGTGCCACTATAACATTGTTGCTGTCAGTATAATATAGTTAGTGCCACTATAACATTGTTGCTGTCAGTATAATATAATTAGTGCCACTATAACATTGTTGCTGTCAGTATAATATAGTTAGTGCCACTATAACATTTTTGCTGTCAGTATAACATAGTTGGTGTCACTATAATATAGTTGGTGTCACCATAAAATAGTTAGTGTCACAAAACATAGTGTCACTATAACATTGTTGCTGTCAGTATAACATAGTTAGTTCCACTGTAACATAGTTAGTGTCACTATAACATTGTTGCTGTCAGTATAATATAGTTAGTGCCACTATAACATAGTTAATGTCACTATAATATAGTTGGTGTCACCATAAAATAGTTAGTGTCACAAAACATAGTGTCACTATAACATTGTGCTTATGCATGTGAGTGTATATTTGTGGTTGTGGGTGTCTGTATATGTGATTGTATGTGTGTGTATGCATGCATGCATGTGTTGGTGTGTATGTATGGAATGTGTGTGTGCATGTATGTCTATGTATGAATGTGTGTGTTTTATGTTGTGTATGTATTCTATGTCTATATATATATATATATATATATATATATATATATATATATATATATATATATATATATATATATCTATATGTGTGTATATATATATTATATATATATATATATATATATATATATATATATATATATATATATATATATATCATATATGTGTGTGTGTGTGTGTTTTATGTTTGTGTGTGTATGTAGATGCATGTGTGTATGTATTATGTAAGTCTGTATATGCGTGTGCATGTATGAAAATGTAAGAGTATGTATACGTGTGTGTTTGAGTGTGTAAGATTGTGTACACATGATGTTTGTATGCATTATTCCATAAGGTATATTTCTTTAAAACTTCCATAACATGCATTATTGATAACAGGCATTGGTACTCTGAAAAATGAGTGCTTAGAAGGGCCAATGTCAGACGAGCCTGTGTGCCCAATTTGTAACTCTTTGAAAATAAAGTTTGTTCGTTCATTGTTGCTGCCAGTATATATAAAATTGTTAGTGCCACTATAACACAGCTGGTGTCACTATAACATAGTTAGTGTTAC